CTGCCCTACATGTATATAAGCCCATGAGGATCTAAGGGAGAACCTTAGATTCATTATTCTATTGCATGCGGCCTAACAAGCCAATTCACCCCCTAGTTGTGAGCATAAGGCTAAGGGCCCTTTGAGCCCCTTTTCCAGACTACATACCACTGCACGCATCCTCAGCCTAGCCCTTGTGGCAGGCTTTTTATGTGGGATCATTTATGCAGGTCACAAAAGCAGACTTGCCCTTAATTGGGTTAAGTGCTTTGGTGCTTTGTGACAGCTGGTCCTTCACTCATGGACCGAATTCGCGAGGACCTCGGAAGTTCAGTGTCATGTCTTCCGGCACTTCTGGTCTCTTCCATCATATTCCGTTCCTCTTGACATCTGAGATATCCCACTTGGACGACACTTTTGCACTCAGCTTGCACTATTCTTTGGCCTGCCCTTGACTCGCTCCTCTGCCTCCTTACAATCATGCCTACCTGCTGCTGCCTCGCTCTCTTGAGTTGCATCTTAGACTTGGAGCACCACATCATTGCACGGACTTTATAAACAATGAGTGTACTCGAGTAGAACTGTAATATATGATATTCTTACAATTATAGGCCGGACCTTATACTCGTCGGGTAAAATTATAAACTATTTTATGCATCCTGGGCACGATTATAATGCGTGATCAGAATGGCCGATCTTACAAGCCATTATAATGATAGGGGGGGTTCTTATGAAACTCAGAGATCCATTATACTAGTAGGCCAGAATGCTCACGGTAAATAAGAATAGGGGGGGTTTTCAAGGTCTTATAAACCCTTTATAATCTTTTTGCACTTTTGCTGATGGAATAATAGAGCATCACAGTCTCATCAAGTGCGTCGAGATTCATGTGCATACCTGATTCCCGCGATGATACCGCTGTAACCCGCGCCTATTACGACCACCTTAATCGGCCTGTAGTCGTCGATGGCGAAGTCGCCGAGCTGAAAACTGTTGTCGACGGGGCCATTGGGCAGCCCATTCGTCGCAGAATCGTTCCTCAAACCGTCGGGCATCGTATAGGCTCTGGCCTCCCGCCTTGAGGTGGGTTCACAGGACTGCGGTGGGCCATCCCGCTAGCGGCTGAGCGCGTACAGTATTATAGTGTTTCGGCATGCTTACGTGTTATCATGAACAAGATACGCTCGAAACAAGCGGTAGCCGCTATGGATTCTCAATATGCACTCCCGGCGACAAGGGTTGTTCATTGGTGAATTTTCGCCGTAGCTAATCGCATGCATGGTGGACGTTTTTCCGAAGCAAGAAGGTGACAGTGAGAAACGAGGGAAGTCTAGCGAATAGAAACCCGACCTGAAAGAAAGGTCCTGTGGACACCATTACGGGGGTCTCTCCACAACCATGCCAATGCGGCGCAGTTGGAAGACGTCTGCGAGCTGGCAAAGTGCAATCATATGATCTTATATGAACTTGAACGCCACGAGCGTTTGCAAGAAGCTGCCATCTATAGCAGGTTCGATCCCAAAGTGGCTTTCTGTTTGGGGCATTATGAACAGAACGTCGTACAATGCAGGAAATGCGTGTTTGATGACCTCAGACGAGCGACTACTGCGGCGATAGCAGAAGAGATGACGATAGCCGACTGGTCTTTGATTAGAAAATATATGATCAACCTCACATGAGAACAATCAGGTATCGCGATCCAGATACTGCTTTGTGATCGCGCCAGCGTCTATAACGGCAGCTCACTTCGAACGACAACATGAATCTGCGAGTGAGATAATCAGTGACGAGCATTCACCTAGGAATGTATTGAGTCGATCCCTCATACGACATCAGGTCGTCGCCTGGAACACCTCATTCCAACGCTCTCCTGCAGATGCCGAGTCAGTCTGCAGGAACTGTAGCACACATCAGCAATTTCATGGTATGACGAACGTCGCACTCCACTGACCCGGTGGAATATCAACCTCCTCGTCATTCAGATACCACGCTCCTAACACATACAAATGAGCTTTGCACACGTCGACGATTCAGGGACGGCCACTCACGATCGCCCGACATCGTCTTCTCGTTGTAGGTCTGCCCGTCACCTAGCCAGTACATCCGGTTGCGAACGCCATCCGCAAGCTCGTAATCAAAGTCTTCCCAGCGGGGGTGCTCATACGCGCGTACAGCGTGTAGACATGACCCTATGCATAGCTTTTCAGCATTAAACGATGTTTTGGTGGAACGTTCGTGCTCACCGGGCCACAGCGCGACGTTGCGGCCCTCTTCCTTGCCCATCTTGTACCATGACCTACATTTCTCGCTATATACAGTCTGCACGTGAAGATGGTGTCAGCAGATATCAACGACGATAGAGTCCACAGAGCAGACCTTCGGGAAGTAGTGCTTCAAAAGACGATATCGTTCAGTTCATATTCCTCGCCGAGCCAGATCAACCCACTCGCCTCCAAATATTTATCAAAATCCTTCACCGCATCCGCCTTCGCCTCGATGCTCTTCAGCCGCTCACGTTGCATCTTCTTCGCTGCGGCAATTGCATACTCGACCTGCCGCTCGATCAACACCAGCAGTGAGCCGGAGCCAAGGGCCGAGTTCGGGCCGAGTGCCATGAACCAGTTCGGAAACCCATCGGTGCAGACGGCCAGGTATGTTGAGGGATGCGGGGTCCATTTTTCTTGTATGGACACACCGCCGCGGCCGATGAGGGGGAAGTCGAACTGGAAAGAATAGTCATATCCTGCGGGAGCACGGAGAGGCGGATGTTAGTGTGGAAAGAATATGGGAGGATGGTGATGATTATCTCAAACCCACCGGTGGCGCAGATAATGATGTCAACATCGGTATGTTGGCCATCGTTTGTCTCGATGCCCTTCGAGGTGATCCGGCTGATATCCTTTGGTACAAAGTCCACCTGTGCCGCAGAGGGTCGTCTGTACACATTCCAAACATTCAGGAGAAAGAGGAGTCGCATACGTTATCTGCACAAAGAGCTTCAAGATATCCAGGCCCTGACGTCAGTCGTCTGCAAGCCACGCCAAAATCGGGTAGCACTAGCAAGGTTCGCAATCGATGCCAAGCACACGTCAGAAGGCTGAATTGGGGGGATCTGCGAAGAAGCGAAGAGACGAACAATGATCCATGATCCACGGCTTTTTCGCGAGCTTCTTCCGCATATGCACCGTGAACGCATCGCGGCCGGCCTGCTGCTGCACACTACCTCGCAGAGTGCTGGCATGCGCGGACTGTGCGACATGAAAGTCATCAGCAGTCGGCAGACCCATCACGAGGCGAACAAATCTTACGTTCAGGTCTGACTCGAGCTCATGGCGAAACTGTTTATAATACCCCGGATCCTCAAAAGCTTCCTTGTCCGCCTCGCTAAACGTGTCTGCTCACAGGTCAAACATTTTGATGTCAGTGTCACATCGTGCAACTTGAAAGTTCAACCGATCACCACGCACAGTTCTCCGCATCCGGATCGCGCTTCATCAGCTCCGCGAGCTTCGCGCTCGCAAAGGGCGTCGAGATCCACGTCTTGCCACGCACAAAATTGTAGATCTTACGCACGCGCGGCTGCAGAGCGGGCACGATCTGGATGGCGCTCGAGCCCTGTAGTGTACAGCACCGCGGCCGTTAAAGCTTTACCGCAAAAGCTATGAGGAGCCCATGCTCACCACACCGATCACGCCGACCGTCTTGTCCTTCCACTGCCACTCCTCGACAGCCTCCTGCCAGGTGCGCTTGCCCACGTCAAAGTCAGCGGTATGAAACAACTGGCCCTTGAACGTCCGCAACCCATCAATCTCGGGCCACTTCCATCGGCTGAGGCTGCCGAGACCCGTGAAGAGGATATCCGCCGTATCGGCGAACTCCTCGTAGCCCACGTCTGCGTTTCCTTCGTTGTTTGGATTGCTCGAGGAGGAAGGGACAGGTCGGCGGATGCGTAGATGCCACTTGCCTGTGGGCTCGTCGTACCGCGCGTGCACGACGCGGTGCTGAAGCTTGATGTAGCGCATGAGCTTGTACTTCTCGACGACAGATTCTAGATAGGCACGAATTTCTGGACCGGGGGCGTAGAAGCTCGACCAGTCGGTCTGTAGACAGTGTTCACATCAGTCAGGTGAAAAGTGCAAATTGTGGTCGAAGAGTGACCTTCGGCTCGAAGGTAAGCTGGTACTATAGTGCGATCTAGATCAGCAACCTTTTATGAGATGGATAACTGTGATGGATGTACGCAGTGGGCAGGGATATCACATGCCAATCCGCTGTAGAGCAGCGATTAAGAAAGATGCTACAAAGTCTTAGGCGTATACGCACGGATATTTGTTGGAATACCACGTCCCGCCGACGCCTGCGTTCTTGTCATATATCGTTAGTTCGACGTTCGGGATTCTTTGCGGGAACCTACGGGCCGTTCGTACGCTCTTGTAGCATTCATACGCAGCTGAGACAAGGTCTGCATACCTGATTCCCGCAATGATCCCGCTGAAGCCTGCGCCTATCGCGACAACCTTGATCGGCCTGTATTCGTCGATCGAGAAGTCCCCTAGCTTGAAGTTACTGTCGGCATCGCTCGTGGCGAGGCCATTGGATATACCGTTCGTTGGAGAGTCTTTACGCATGGTAGGCATCGCGAAGTCGTATTGTCAGGCTAAGTCCGCACACAGAATGCGCTATCAGGACCTCGAAGGTTTCCAGAGTCAAATTCACAGCAACACACGCTTATATGCACTTGGCAATGTGGGCTGAGTTTGCCCGAAAAGTCGTAGCCGAAAGTAGTATCCATCGGACTCTCATGCTCCCGTCCAGGCTTATGGGATCGTGCTGCTGCGTTCTGATCCCGTGTCCGCCGAACAGTCATGCACCCAGACAGTGTCCGAATGGATGACCATTGCGAAAGGGCCCCAGATCATCCACGGAGAAGGTCCCAGAGATATGGAAGCTAAAGATGGCCTGCGATAAAAGTTTAATGCTCCGCGAAGCTTCGGACCACAAGCCGCTCAAGTTATGCAGAAATTGATTGATGTAGCACTGTAAGCCTAGCGGGTGCGTTTGCAAGGAGTATATCCGAGTGACCAGAACAACTCTGGAGACCGCCGTCGCAATATGTGAATGCATATTATATTGGTTGCTCACCGATTCATATGGCAGTCCTTGAGAGTATCTATACCCACCTTCTCCGTCAAACGACAAATCACGAAGTAGACGCTCTGCGTTAATTCTCGAGACTCGTCGAGTTCAAGCGACATTCCAGATATCGTCGCGCAGCCTCCTCCGAAACAATGTGGTTGCGTGCGATAGTGCACTGATGGACGAAGCAGATGAGTGTGGCGAGGACACCAGGGCCGAGCGCTGATGTAGGCAAGATGATGCACATCACCCGCGCGTCGCCCGCGTCTCCACAACGTCTCGCTTTCCCCACCTCCACCACCAACGCTGACACTTTTCGTTCACTATATGCGCCCATTGACATTGCACTCTTCTGCCCTCAACGATGCCGAATATACCGTGTACACCGCCTGTCTCCGCGACCTCTCCGAGGAGGACGAAAACGACCCGGACCACGTCGCCGCTCCGCGCGCCGACTCGTACAACACGGACTTCACCGTCGGCGTGCGCGAGGCAAGGGCGTGGCTGAGGGGGAGATACAGAAGCCTTGCACCTGGGGTGCTCGATTCGGTGCGCATGTTGCGGTAATCTACACCAAAGCGGTCGCCGTCTCACTGGGCGTGCTCGTAGATCTTGAGACTGTTCTGCCCGAAGCTTGCGCCCGGAGAGTCCTTGACGGGCGGCCAAATGTTCGCTGTCCTCCGTCTGGTGCACCATGCATTGAACGGCAAGGACGTGGACAAGAATTTGGTCTTTGTCCAGGGTGAGTGGGATAGGGTCTATCGCTCATGGTTACCGTGTCCGTCGTCCGCAGTCTTTCGGTGTGGACACAGAATCGGCTTGTGCAATTCTCTGGCATACTGCTTAATCCGGCACAAGTTGTTCACTGATGGCGACACTGATGAAGGAATGACCTTTCTGATAGAGACAGTGCATATGTTGATGTCGTCCTGTCCTGTCTCCTGCACAGCCATTCATCATGCTTTTGATCACTACATTGACGAGCTAACCGTACTATGCAGCCTACCCCGACATACCAGCCACCGAATCCGACTATGATCCCCGCCCTTCCCAACCCGTCCCACCTACTTCCGACTTCAACACATCTATACTCTCCCCCACCTCCGACACCAACCCCTTTCACTACCACCACGATGCGCAAGCCAAACCCAACGATCTCCCTCTGCCTTTATCACGCCCCGTCCCCGCCAAGCCCACCATTCCCGCTCCTCCCCTGCCGAGCCCACCGCCCGCTCTTCCTCCCAAACCCGGCAACACGAACCCCTTCCTGACAAGCCTGCGCGCACGCCGCAGCTCCGAAGACGAGCCTCCCTTGCACTTCCATGCCTCCACCCCATTCGCCTCCCGCGCCCGCAGCGAGGGCCGCGGTCCGCCTCTGCCCCCGCGCAAGCACAGCATGCCCGCGCCCGCCATGCCGCCTCCTCGGCACGCCTCCCAGACGCAGACGCGCCCCACACACGCGCACCATACCTCCTCCGCATCGCTCTCCGCGCCGAACGCCAATCTGCTCATTCAGCAAAGCCTTACCGCCACGCGCGTTGCGCAGAGCCTGAAGCGCGCGGAGCACCGCCTCGAGCAGGAGCGCGTGCTCGAGGTTCTCAAGAGCAGCAGTGACACGAACGGGAGGACGAGGAGTAACAGTCCGATGGTGGAAGAGCGCGAGCGCGAACGGGCGGCGTCGACCTCGGGCTCGAGCTCGGCGGATAGAGAGTGGGAGAAGGAGAAGCGACGGATGCCGACGCTCCCGCCGAGGCCAAAGGTGAGCCCGCCGGCATCGACTATGTCGGGTTCCACGGCGCGCTCGATGGAGCAAGTCGCCCGCGCTACGCTGCCTTATAGGCACTCCAGCGCCATGCCAATGCCATCCTTCCGCTCTCCGCCGTCCTCAGTCCACACTGCACCCGAATGCACCACCTCGCCTGCGCTCACGCCTCCCCGCCCACTGAACGACCTCCCACCAGAACCGCCCCCCACCCACCCCGACAGGAAGCCCGTGTCCGCCCTCGTGCTAGATTCCGATCGCGAGCGCGGAGTCCTTCCCCCACTCGAATCTCCGCACCTCTTCCGCTCGCGCTCGATGCATCACCAGGCGCCCCCGCCCATCCCGCCACACCGGAAGAAGCGCCCCGAGAGCGTGCAGATCACGCCGACGTCGACCTCGCCCGTCGACTCGCCGTTCGCGTCGCCCGTCAGAGGCGCACATGCGTTGCCCTCTTCGGGCGCGTCCATCCACAGCAGCACCAGCCAGCCCGCGCTCTCGCGGCATTCATCGCTCTCGGCGCGCTCGCGGCATAGCGACGGGATCGCGGAGCCGATTGCGAATTTGCAGCGCACGCTGAGCACTCTTCACCAAAAGGCGCAGCCGCGTCTCGATTCGGCGCGGTTCAAGGCCGAGGCGGCGTTTGCCCCGCGCGGGTTCGTGCAGCATTCGCAGCCGGGCTCGCGTTGGCTGAGGCAGGAGGGCGAGGAGCGTTTGATGAGCGAGGATGAGACGGATACGGGGCGTGATGATGAGAGTGTGGGGCAGGACGTGGAGGAGACGGAGAGCGAGAAGGAGAGGAATGAGCGGTTGAGGAAGCTTAGGCTTGGGAATAGGGATGAGGTACCGGCGGTGGACCGTCCGCAGCAGGTGGGCGTCGAACGGGACGACTTGAAATGGCCCGCTGGAAATGGATGGAAGCGATTGTAGATGATTACCTACGCGGGACTGCTCGCACGCGCGCACCGTATTCATAGCATCTTGGATAATCTTTGTTGCAGGAGCGTACGTTTGGCAGGCAGGTAGATGTATCTAATGAGTCACTATAGTTAATGCGTACTATGATACATAAATATGAAGTAGATCCACGATATATAAGTTACAGAGAACACGCATGAAGAGGCTGCAGAGAGGGAAACAGATAGGGTGGAAGATCCAAATCCAGGCGCGGAAATTGGGGACGGTTAGACAAAGTCTGCCTTGTGTAGATGTTTTTGTACAAGCGCGTCTCGCACTGGATGCGTTATCAGTAGGTGATCGAGCATAGCTGCCTCAGCGACATACCTGACGCAAGTGTGGATGAGGTTGCCTTGGTATCCTATGGAACGGGCTCAGCCCAACCCCCAAAGCCAAGAAAAACTGACTTACAACCACGGAGGTGACGTATCCGTAGAACGATCGTGGTTCCGGAGAAAAGTCCTTGTGCTGGTCACGAAACTTGTGATGAAGGTCTGCAGGAAAATCCCCAGCACGTCAACCAAAGCACGCCATGCTGTGCGTCGCACTCACATTTAGCAAGGACAGGCGCGGTGTTCTCCCTATCGCCGTAGCTCGACAAGTACTTGTTGATCCTGACCCCCGCGCGGAGTTTCTTCGACAGCAAATCATACTTGTTCAGGAACACTACAGCCGTCCGTCAGCCACCTATCCTATCGCTCAGGGAATGGACATGGCCGGACGCACGGATGATGATGCACTTGGCGAGCAGCTTGGACGAGACGATGCTCTTCCAGAGGATGAACGAGTCCTCGAGGCGGTTGACGCGCTTATCCTCGGCGAGCGTCTCGTCGAAGCACGAGATCGGGGCGAGGAAGAGGATCGCGTTGGCGTCCTCGAAATATGGCAGCCAGGCGGCGCGCTGAGGTGACGTCGGATGTGGAAGTACGAATGCGTAATGGGAGGGACGTACCGACGTTCGAGAGCCACCGACGTCGTAAATGATCCATTCTTTTGAGATTGAGCGATCCACGCCAGCTACGCAGTGATAGAAGATGAGTCTGTCAGCTCAGGATAATGACAGCGACCGATGGCCGTAGCCACAGCAATAGTTTGGAAGCATGCACGGACAAGTATGTCACTCCAATCCGTGAAACGAGATAACTAACGGAATGTTACGATACTCACCAGTGTTTTCAAAGTTCAAGCTGTACTCCTGCACGCCGAGCGTGCGTAGCCGTGCCCGAACGACGTCGTCATCAGATGGCTCGTACGTGCGCGTGGCGATGCGTTCCACGTCGTCAAGGAAGCTGAGAGAGGAATGTCAGTATGAGGAAACGGAGTGTCCAAATGTGTGCAGACACTCGCTACGAGCCGTGAGCACAGAGCCATAAAGGTGAGGACCACCGTCGAACAAACATCGCAGCTGGTACTGCATGCGAAGCGGTGGCAAAAGTCGTATATACCAACCCATGCAGTTGCTATACTGCACGCTGCACAGCAATCCAGCCTGACGAGCCAGACCGCCCAAGTCCTGGATATCACGTCGTCCCACCGCCCAAATGATCGCGTGCATATCCAGGATGACAAGAATGCAGTCCTGGACATCACGTTGTCCCACCCAAATAAAGGCATGCATGCATGACAGTAACAGGAACACTCACTATCCACCGCTCTCCTCCATCTGCATCTTCCTCCTCTTAAGCATCTCCCTAACCACCTCGTCCTCCCACAGCGCCCTAACATCCTCCCCACACCCCGCCACAATCTCCGTGACATCGTCCAACCCCGTCCTCCCCATCACCGGGCTCGCGGCGCGGATCCTGCCGCCTTCCTGCTGCGGTGCGAACAGTGCATCACGCAAGGACCGTCCCGAGCGAAGGCACAGATCCTGGGAGCGGACGTTCCGCGCGTGGGCATACGTGCTCTCGAATGGCGCGTCGGAGGCGCCGTAGGGTGATGGCGATCGTGCTGAGTGAGGCTCGGGGTCCGTCTCCGAGGAGGCGGCGCCGAGGCGCTGCTTGAGGTCGGCCTCTACCTGGCGAAGGGGCCCGAGCCGCAGCTTGAGCAACGCGTGCTTGCTCGTGAAGGCGAGCGGTGCGGGGGGTGCGGACGTGGATGTCGGTGATGGCTCGGTGGCTGTGGGGGAGCTGTCGGCGCTGTTTGGATCTGGGCGGCCGGCGGAGGGCGGACGGATGGGCGATGGGGAGCTGTTGGATGCTGCGAGCTCTTCGGCGAGGGCGTCGAGGATGAGGTTGACGGAGCGGACGAGGTTGAGCTGGATGACGGCGCGCCAGGAGATGCGCTCCTCCTGCCACGCCTGCGGTGCAAAGTTGAGCTGGAAGTCTATATATATAACAGAGCCGGGATGAGCATGCTGCCAGTCCGCGAAACACGCAACGCACTCTTCAGCACCGTTGACTTTCCTGAAGCAAGCGGACTCGTCAGCACTGATCGAATGCGGCACAAGGTTCAGACACGCACCGCTTTCACTCTGTCCGAGGAGAAGCAGCTTGAAGAGACCCTTTTTCTTCTTCCATAGGGCCCTCTCCTCGCGAATGCGCTCGTCAATGTCATCGCTGATGCGCTTCGCCTCTGCCTCCTGCGCGAGTCGGGTCTCGCGCTGCTCAGGAGTCTCGTCGGGCGGGGGCGCAATGGCAGCCGCGAGCGGATCGTCGATGGACCTCGTATGCACGCGAGCGAGCTGCTGCGTCTTCGTCATCGCGCGCGCAAATCCGAACTCGTGGCCGGATATGATATGCGGAGGAGAAAGCGAAGGTGGCAAAGTTGAGGACTGCCGCAGATGGGCGGAAGCGGTGCAGGCACAGGCGCACTGATCTGTTGGCAAGTTTTTAAACAGAAATCAGGAATGCAGGAACGGATCGCTGATGACACGACAATTAATGGTGAATTCGTCGAAAAAAAGGAACGGCGACCGAGGTCCAGGGCGGAATTCGTCGTCGTTGCCAGCGCGGAACCGTCTGATCAGCCCGGTAACCCCGACGTTCTGATGGGCGTAGGCGTCGCGAATGCATCCGTGGCGCAGCATTGACTCGAGACCATTGTGCTGAATAGTTTGTGCGAGTCGAGTGCACGGAGAGAGACAAGGCGAGTGTAAGTCGCACCCGACGTCGCTAGCCACACTCAGGATCGGTTCAGCGTTGTATGTATGACGAGACAGCTGTAACTTTTGCACATGCAGGTATCACTAACTAGCAACAGTGAGCTATATAGACAGAAATACGAAACCAAGCGAAATATACACAGCACTACCTCAGAGCAGCAACGAATCCAGCTTCGACAGCACCTCCAGCACCCCCGCGATCAGCTCAAAGCACAGATCCTCCTCACCCTGCATCTCCCGCTTCACCTCCATCACCAGCCCGAGCACCGCCTCCCGCCCACTCACCCCCGCGCTCCCCATCCCAATCCTCGCCGCCTCCCGTCTCCGCGCCGGCGCGCCCTTGCCCGTGCCCGCACTCGCGCTCCCAAACGGCCAGCACGCAAACTCGGCGAGGATGTCGTCGCACCGCTGGAACGCCGCCTCGCGCTCCTCGTACGAGAGCATCGCAAACGCATTGTCCAGCACGCTCGCCGCGTACGCCGCACACGCGAGACACACCGCCCGTGCCGCCCGCGCCTGCGTGCCCTCTTTCTGCAGCGCCGTCGCCGGCACCGCGCTCGTCTGCGCCGTCAGCAGCGCAACGACGCGTCCCACCACTGCGTCCTTCGTCCTCACGTCCGCGACCGGGTGCGTCGCCATATCGAACAGCAAAAAGTTGCGCTTCTCCGTCCGGAGCACGCCCTTGTCGACGAGTCCCTTTGCGAGCCGCTCGCGCACCTGCTTCAGCTGAAAGCCGATCTTCATCACGTTCCACGTCTCGCCTGCGCACGCAGCAACGCGAGTTCGACATGCAAGGAAGAGAACGCTAGCGTCAGCCTGCGTCGCGTAAGCTCACGGCCGTGCCACGCCATGCAGACGCGCGGACGGAACGCCCACTCACCGCTGAGCAGGTCAACCCACGTGTTGACCGGCATCCGCTCCACGCTCTCCTGCGCCTTCATCATCTTGAGTGTTTCGTCGAGTAGTGTCTCGCCGGTTTGCCGGTCGTCGATCACCTCCACCACGCGTTCAGAGACTGGGAGCTGTCTCCGGTTTGGATCGCGCACGACTGCGATGCGCCGTCGCAGCGCGAGCTCCATGAGGATGCAGCCGCGTAATGCGTACGAGATGTTGTCGTTCCAGAATGATAAATAGCCCTGTGGACCTACAGAGTGAGCATAGGGAAGCCGGGTCAATGACGGATACGATCATTGTAAAAGAAAATGCGGTGTATTGCAGCCTCCCGGAAATACTCCGTAAAGGTGCTCAGAAGGAAGGATGGGGCGGGTCCTTCGATTGAGAGCGCATAGCGTCACCGCCCACATTTTGTTATGCATTGCCGGGCATTAGGCACAAGCATAGGACACCTTTGAATGTTTCGTCCCCGGCAGAGGTTAGACATCATAAGCAGTTGCGTGATGAGCAGTGCAACTGATCACGCCTTGACTATGACAGATTGACCGTGGTCGACGGGTGTCAATTCCATTGATGAGGCCCGGCCCGGGATCTGACCACGTCAGGTAGACAGCCAGCCAGCCGATGCCGCCCCACACGGCGCAGTGTCCGCATACGTGGCGAGTGCATCTCGGCTCGCCACCCAAAATCCCGCCATCTCACTATGCTGCGAGCGCACCTGCGTGCGCGCACCCAGCGCCGAAGAAAACAGTAGACATAGAAAGGCCAATGCTAGTAACGGATGTCAAGCAATGTATCAGGCCGTCTCACGGCCTGCCTCGCCTCGCACAATGTGCAGTCCAAACAGCCACCTCGTAGCAGCACAAAAAACCTCGCCAACTCACCTGCTTATCTTTCAACCCAAGCAACAGCACCTCCTCCATGATCGTCAACTTCGGCGCGCGCCCGCCCTGACGCACGTCCTCGTCCTCTCTTTCCAGGTCGCGCGGGTCATACGCGATCTTACTGCCGCCCTCGAACGCCGAGCCCGCATGCGAGAGCGGGGCGCCGCCGTTAGTCTTGTTCGTCGTGGACGAGTTGGATGTGGTGGACGAGGACGCGGAGAGGCCCCAGGCGTCGTCGTCGGGGTCGTCAGCTGAGGCGGCGTTGGGGACGCGCCGCCGCGAGAGGCCGCCGGTGGATGTCATCGCATGCGCTGGTGCTGGTGTGGTGAGTGCTCCGAGTGTCGCAGCGAGCACAAGCGTAAAAGTGAGACCGCGATGGAGGCGGTGGGCCGGAGGTGGGAGGGTTAGATCGAGGACGGGATGCCAGTTCAGACGTCGATGGATGGAGAGCGCTGCTACTGCGCCAGTCGGGCTGCGCCTCGGCGTCTGCCGAGCACTGGCCGAGCGTCCTTGCCGCTCGCTTTCTGCTCTCATTCAGCTTAATGTCGGCATAACGCTATGTCAATTTTCAGCTCAAACTGTTTCCAAGGCTCTGTGCTTCAAAACCTAGCACTTGTCAATGATTTTGTGAAGGCCCAGCTACGATCGCAAGGGTCTCCTTTCTGCTCACAGTGAAACCAGATTACTTGTTCAACTCTTCGCGACACATAATCCAAACAAGCCAGCTCTCAGGTCGTCTTTAATCGCGGTTATAATAAAAGACGATTCGTATGCCGTCAAAAACCTTGCCATGAACATCGCAACTTGAAAGTCCTACAGACTTCATCGCTGCATGGGTATCTGCTCTCTCGTCCGCCTTAAGCCGTTGTTTCTCAGCTCGTGGAAGAGCCGTCTGGTGAATATGGATGGCCCACGGCTTTGCGATATCAATTCGCTACTAGACACAATGACGGTTCTCCCATGCCGCCACACGCTACAGTAAGCCCTCTATCCAAACGTTCTCCGTAGCGGTCGCAGACCGCATCGCTAGCACTGCTCATGATGCCAAACTGTTGATTCATCTCTTCACGATGCATAATTCAGACAATTCAGCTCGCAGATCACTCGTCGCGGCTATAATATATGACGACTCGGTCATCGAAATCCTTGCAAACAACGCCGGCAATTGAAAGTCTCTATAGCTCTGACGTGCTCTTGATCGCCGCACGGGCTCTTCATTGCTCTATGGGTACCTAGCATCTACGCTCTCTTCCCCGTCTATAAAGCTTCCCTTTCTCTAGCTCATGGCAAGGCTGTCCGAAGGATATGTATGATCCGCGGCCGTGCGATCTTCATTTGGTACTAGACACACTTCAAAAAGCCTTATATTCTCTGTTCAGGACTTCGCCATCCGCAAATGCATTTTCGAGCTCGTCCTCTTTGGCAATTTCAGCTGCATTTCATACAACACATTTCCCAGCACCCTCGCTCGTCCACATCCCGCCGTTTCCTCTCATCATGCAAGCTGGGCATTCTATCGCACATCGTGACCTCGACCTTGTTCTCGCCCATGTGTCGCTGGCGTGCGGCCCGTCTCGCGGTACGACCGTTTCGCCCTGCAGATCTACGAAACCAGCACCTCGCCGAGGTTCACGCTGCCCCCGATGAACGCGCCCTAGGTCGTGCACCCGGCTAGCACTACGGTCGCATCCGCCCGCGGGCGCACCCCCCTTGGACAGGTTACACAGCGCGGTTTCGGAATTGCGTAGGCTTTAGTGGCAGAAGCGCGGTCCGATGAGTTTGCTGAATAGGTCTCTCGCCTCTATTGGTCATCTGGGGCATGCGCTTCCGGGATCGGGGAGTGGGCTCGTCTGTGGGATGTATATCGCTCTGAACTCCTTGCACATGGTCGGCAGGCGGGGCAGCGTTCAACCGGGTTCCTCCAGCTCGTCCTGCTTTCCTTTACTGATATTTTTATGTAAACTCGTCGCGGAAGTCCTCCAGCTCGCAGGTGATCAACATCCCCTCTGGAAAGTCGTCTTCCTCCTCGTGATCGCCGACCCTCCTCTGCGATCGCGCTGTAGGGAAGGAACCGCTCGCGCGCCAAGGCGTAGATGCAGTCGAGACCTCTGTCCATCAACGCCGCCTTCGCGAGGCCGTATAGGATGGCATCTGGGATGTCGTCTATCTGTTCGAACATCACGCAGAGCAGCGTCGGCGGGGGGCCGACGTAGACCTCGGGGTGTTCGTCACATTGTCCAGCGGTGCGCGTGGACGCCTAAATAAGGCTGAAGGATTGCTAGGACGCGCTAAGCCTTGTGCTTCCGGTACGTCTTCTTGGGTGGCCGCGAGAGGCAACTAAGAGATCGATGAGGTGGCCCACGGCGAGCGTGTAGAACAGAGCCGCGTCCAGTTTTCCCGCCACCACGGGTTTATCTCTTCTCGCCTTTCGGAGCTGGTGTTGGATGTTGGCGGATCAGTTCGCATAGTTGGGCGACAGTCGTCGTTCGTACGCACATCGTCCAGGATTGTCGGCATTTTGAGCGCTCGAGGAGACGCGAATGCTGGAGAGTTGGGAGATGCCGCTGCGGGCGCGGTGAGAGCCAGCTAGGTGATGTGTGTGTGGTATGTAGTGCTTTGAGCTCAAATGGCCTTGTGTCGCTGATTTCCAAAGGATGCGATGTCGGGATTCATCAGGAGACCGCGTCGCGTAAACGCGTCGCCGCGCCACAAAAACAGCTTTAGCCAAAGCTATAGATCATCTAGCTTGAAAGTCGTTGGTGCTTTCTCGGGAAACTAGCACTGCATGCGCTCCTCCCGGTGGTACACAGCTGACTCCTTCGTTCGCTTCACTAGCTTTGTGTTAGAGCTGCTGCTGGAGACAGGATCACACATTATGTAGGTGTGCGCCGAGCTGGTTCAGACACTGATCGCAACGCGTCTGCACTAGCCTCTTGTGTTCAGAGTACAGATTCGCTGCTGGTGCCGCAGCCGCATTCCGGCCACATCGATCGTTTCGCGGCTTTACCATGAGTCTCCATGGCTCTTCCTCCAAATCCTCGCACAATCTCCATTCTCAAGCGGGAGTTTGGCGTTCAATGGCTTCATGCCATCTCATCCTGCAAAGAGGCACACTTCATTTGCGCGCACACACATCCAGCATGCGCGAAGATCCGGCGATGCGGCCCCCACTCGACAGTACAGTGCTTGCCCTTGATAAACCACTGCGAACGTCGGCCGGTGTGCTGGATCGTTCACAAGCCTGCGCAGGATGAGCGGACGTGTATCGCGCATGCTGATATCATTTCTGCCTGTGCTACAGGCGATTAGAAATTTCGAGTCGGCCTCCACGCTCTCAATGTCCAGTTTGTGGCGCTGCAAAGACGACGGCTTCCATTGTTATCACGATGCCGTGTCGAGTTGCGCCAACGCCGTCACTCCTGCTTGTACTGTAGCATACTCTACGTATTTGACGATTGTTGTCTCGTGCCTATGGCTTGTAAAATCATAAATGGCTTTGGATGTCACTACATGTGCCTTCGATCGTGTTCCTCAGGATTAGAGTAACAAACATAAGCAGATTCATATAAACCGTGTATAAGCTACTTGAAAGTTGACAACTGAGACTTCAATACTTCCCGAAGAATAGCTCAGAAGTTAGAACGTGAAACCGACTGAGATCTCATCTAACGTTCGCTGTCAGATTTCGCGATAGGTGGATTTCGTGGTTGAGCAGAGGCGTGGAAGCTCTCGTACACTAGGAAGTCAAGTCGAAACGCGGCGTTCTCTCGGTCTGAGCTAGAGGAAGATTCCCCTGTGCATCCGCGAGAGCAGCCCCCCATTGTCATGGAACCCGTTGAAGCGGGAAGGACGAAGCGGTGCAGAGTCTGAGAGTCCGTTCAACGGCGAACGGTGCGCGTCGGCATTCGCCGAGTCTCCTTGCCGCCCGCCCCCATGTTCAACACTACTCGAACTCGCCGGATACACAGCAAGTGCTGATGTGCTTGCGAAACCTACACACTTCACGATGAAGGCTTGTCTCAAGAGTTGATATCGCGCGCATACTGTGGCTGTCTCGTCGTCTGACCTCGCGCCATCGCTGGATCGATGTCTGAACACAGCATTGCATCCGAGTACGTCGCCGCTCTTGTGACCAGCTCTGCTATCGTCCGAGCGAACTTCGATTTGATAACCAGGTGCGCGGGCATCTCTGCTGCGAGCCTTCTCGCTTCTATCTAAGAAGGGCAAAGACACCAGTGAGTATCTCCTTGAATGCAATTTCACTCACGACAACGATCGTTCCCGTCGTCTATCGATATTGGCTGTGCTGTAAGCTAATTGGATGAGGCTGAATGACGCGGACTCGCTACTCTAAATTGTATCATCCTGCTGACTCTCGAGTGTTCGCACACACACGCCACCTCATGTGCCCGCTAAGCGGCCTATCATCCTCGCGCAGCCGCTCGGTCCTTTGCGGTCCGCTTGAGGCAGCTTTCGAGAGCGCAGCTTACATCAAGAATGTCTTGCATGGATCTTCTCCGCACTATGAGCGATTGACAAATCTCATTACACATCCCCCTTCTCTCGACAGGCACAGTGTTCGCGCAGAGCCGTTTTATGCTCACTGTAGGCACGAATGTGTGCCACAGTTGCGCCAAATATCCGGTTGGGTAATCTTGCTCTCATCGTGTTTTCCTAAGCTCATCGTAACAATTACACGATACCAGTGTGTATTGGGAATTCTGTGGCCTCGTTGCGCTGCTTCAACGTACAAACCTTCAAGAAGAGGCATACCGACGAGATTGCTTGCTGGAGGTTCTCTGTTTCGAAGCCAAGTTCAACCTAATTGCCAATCGCACTGCGCCAGCCGAAGAGCGTGCTATTTCCAAAGCGGTCAATGTCTATTATTGGTCAAGTGCATCAACACCCACGGACGCGCGAACCTATAGGCGCACCATTCTGTAGGTGCAGTACACCGATCAAGCTCGATCTTGCCGATCTTGATCGTTTTGGTGGAGGGGGATCCAATGGTGAGGGATGCATTTCACTTGAGATTGGCTCTCCCAGCCTAAGTGGCGTGAAGATGTTCAGTGTTCCCACACTCGTGATTGTGCTTCTTCCAAAGCCGTCGGCGCTGTACAAACCTGGCTTGCTCTTCCAGTATGCTCAGTAGACCGGAAATGCTTACTAGGTCTTCTGTCAGGACGAACTCTGAAGCGGTCCGAATCGGCCGATAGTTACCCGGTCTTGCTGTGCCACTCTGCCCTCGACTACACGGTATCAACGTGGAGAATTCCGTGTTCCTTAGCGTTCTGATATCGCCGACTGTTCTCTATTGATTTGTGCCTGCCTACCTCTGAAACTACCGAGAGCCATCTCCTGATCGCACTCGAAGGACGGCATTGTCTCACTGCCTTGCGCCTCGACTTCTGCGACCACCACGTTTCTGGGATTTCTGCAACCAGGGTCGCTTCCGGTCAACGCAGGCTTTCGGACCACCTGTGCCTTTGCATACGGAATGGCGGAGTACACAGGAAACGTCTGATCGTCGTATAGTCTCGTCCTCTTTTGCCAGCTGGCGGCGCTTCCACTGCAATCACAACACGCTGTGAATACTCTCAGCTTTCTTCCGTCAACACTAGCCAGGAGCAGATGATCTACGACGCTGGTACGGCATCACTACCCTGCTTGCATTCCATTCTGTGCTGCTAAATGGACACGTAAATACTGCCGCAATCTGCGTCGTGCTCTCCTCACCTGCCATATATGTATCATCCGCGCACCGCGATCTCACTTGCTGGAGCGGACTGATTCAGTGCGGCTCCCACAGCCCAGGAAGGTAGGTCCGTCCGCCAGCGATCCGACCCCGTCACACGCCTGAAATAACCCGAGACGCACGTATGCAGTCTTCGCTCTTGGCATTCCATGCGCAGGCATTCACGTACGTATGCTACCTACCAGCACACATCCCTACCCGACTTGCGTGCGAGTCGTACTGATGGTACCCGCGACACGGAAGTGCGCTCGAACAATCGCGAACCGGACGACGCGGTGCTCCGCAGCATTCAATGCGAATGTTCGTACCATCCACCCAGCAGCAATTAGCTCAGACAGACGGCTGGTCAGTCACGCGTCAAGCTTCGCGACTGCCAGCCGTCAGTACCGACGTACGTTCACGTCATCTTCACCGTCATGCCTTGCCAGAGCGGAGCATGTTCATTGGCGGTCGGCCATATTCGTTGACGATATGGCTCCATCGTCACTTTCATCTGCCATTCAATGCATCCAATAGAGAGCTTCGAACGCTGCTGCTGGCCGTACGAAGGCTGACAAATCTATTTGCCCACTGCGGTTGGTAGGAGCTTTCCGCTGCTTCGCAAGTCACACGACATAACGTCCTCCCCCAGCCAACCGGAATCCGTCCGCTTGAAACATATGGCAGGATGCGCGCCCTTGTTTTGGATTGGAAATTTCGAGTCTGAACCGCGCACTCCAATGGACGGCGCGCAGCGTGGACCGCGTGAGATTATATATTCTCATTAAAAATCCGATTTTGAAACTGACCAATTTTTCAAGGGACTCGAATTACGACACAGCTTTTGAGTTTTGACAGAACTCTCGCCTGTGAGTTTGCTTCTTTACCCACGTTTGAGTTCCGCGAACCCATAGTTGGCGTTAATTACCGTCTGCCTTCATGACCGCTCCCAAGCACGTGTACGCCGCCTGCATCAAATATGCTCAGGGTCATCCTTCGTCCCTACTTCGTGGATGACGAACTTCACATCGACTTTGCGCGGATCACTCGATATCAGCGTAAGCTTTCCTTGCATGGTATCTGATCGTCGCAGCCAACCATCCCGCCAAGTCCATTATTATCGAGCTGCAGCCGTTTCGGAGCGTCTGACCAACTCGCAGTGCCGCCTATCCGGCGAAGGTGTCTGCATTTCGGCGTTGCGATGCTTCGATTACGAACATGTGTTCTCCGTCGCTGCCTTCCGGGTCGATCTCGTATCTCTGGCTACTGAATCTGTTCGCTCAATATCATTGAGAAGGGTGAGAAGAGATCTGTGTTGGGGCCGGCTTCTCGGATTTGTGTTTGATCTGCCGACATCTGCGCTGGCCTTCTCTGCTTCGCTTCTTGCCAATTACTGATAACGCAAGCTGTCCGTTTTTCCCCTGTTATTCCTGGTGAAATACCATTGGACGGCTCCTTTTCGCAATGGGCGCTTGCTGCGTTCAGCGGGCAACGCTGCATTTTCTCCCGCTACCTCGAATGTTCGGCAACGGTTCTGATGGCTCCTCGCTCTGCTCACTCGTCCTCACCATCTGCTCCCTTCACTGTCAATTTTGACGGCCCTGATCCGCACGCTTCCCATGGTGGTAGATCGTCCCGATAGACCATGCGCCCCTTGTGTCCCTGGTTATTTCCTTGCCAGCAGAGGCCCGCGGTTGCGCACACTCAGGCACATTCTCTTGTGGTGTGCATCGTGACTGTCAGAGCAGCACGGCCTCGAGGAAGGTTAGTCATATCTCGAGCTGACTGGCTGCGTAGCAACAAGTGGTCTCCAGTGCAGATGTAGCCAATGGGCTCTTTTGTTCTGTGAGTGAGCTGTCCGCTCTTGCAATGACGCAGCCCACGGAAATTGTGTTCGGTAATGGCCATTCCCACAGTAGTGGCTGCCATACAACCAGCTTGGAGCTGCACGAGTAGGTGCTCTCGAGGTTGCTAGATTGTTCAAAACGTGAACAATCATTAATCATCGCATGTGCTCAACACCGTGATCAATCCAGAGGACAAATTCTTGGCGCAACTACCTCCCAGCAATTTTGCGACCCTTTACTCATGGCTAACCGATATCTCCTCATCGATTGATCCATGGAATTATCCGTGACGACGGATCGTGAAAGGAAATCTCGACGCCGACGCCACAATTCACTTTGCAACCTCATTGGTTCCGCATCGCACGTAGGACATGATCCGGCGCTGATTACCTCTACGCACCTGCGGTCCTTCGAGAGCGGAAATAGATAGGCAAGGTATGACGGAGCAGTACGTGTCAAGTCCCCGTCTGAAGCCTCAGGACGTCATTTGCCTCCAATCCTTGCCATTCAACCTCTGCGATGCGTGACTTATAGTTATGTCTGCGACAGGATTCTCGTGTGAAGAGGATGCAGCACCTGCAGTGACTCTTTGTCGTCTTCTAGCTCGAACCAACTATTCTGGCTCTCACGGTACTGAAGCCTCTCATTGGACCGGAGTCGCGGTTTTCGTGCCCCCTTCTTTGAATGACGCCCAATCAGCACGAGGCTGGTCCCACGGGAAGACGACACATCCTCCGCTCTCCGTCCTCTGTCTGTCCGGTTTCACTTTGAGGCAGGCCATCTGCGTGTGCAGGCGTACGCAGGCCAACCGTTGACGGTTATATTCTCTCATTTGCGTCGCTCCTTCTCACGAACTCACGCCGTGCGTCCCCCTTCACCTACGACTGGACTTCTGCCAGGAGGAGCAGTGCTCCGTCTCTGTCGCTCGACCGTCTGTACGCACCAAAGCCCTTTCAATCTACGTCTACGAAGCACTGGTGAGGAAGCACCAAGTTTAAACCTTCACGCACAGAGACTAATTCTTCTTCAGTGTACGATGAACGCCGGACAACGTGAAGACAGACATTGGTCGCAGACCTTGCCTCCACATACCGCCCTTACCTTCGCTGCGGTCTATGACCCAGTGGAAGGCTTGATCACCTTCTCCGGGGCGCATCTGCTAGAAACGGATCGCTGTGACCGAGTTGTGGTCAACACGCGGCGGCCTGTTGCATTTCCGCGTCGGGATGATGGGGACAACCGGTCGCAAGCGTTGACGATCGACTTGATCGCCCGTCCGTCCGTGGACGGAACACGTTCCACTGCACGAGTCCTACACGATACAATGAGCTGCGCGCCTTCGGCATGGCCTTATGATGCGCAGACGGATACGGATACCATGCTGGATTCGCAGTACCTACCTACGTGGCTCGGCGTCTCTCGAGGCCTCAGCACGGGCCTCAATAGTCCTGCTATTGCATCTTCTGCTGCACTCACAGCTGTCTTCCATGACGCCGAGTCACTCCGCGCTCTGCGCCAACATCTCAGAGGGATGCAATGGAAGTGTATGCCCGTACCACGCAACGGCTCCCCGTGTTGCGGGTCAGACGAGGATCATGTAACGGATGAAGGATTTTTTGAAGCAAGGCATATGTGTGCCGATGACGGTTCGAGCATTCCCGTGCTGGTCAACCTGAATCTGGTTAGTCGGTCACGTATTTTCTGATACCTACTTCGGATCTGACTGAACGCTTTCTCCTTCGCAGCAATCAGCGTTCTCGGTGACCACCACTTCGACCAACAACTACATCGAGGTCGACTTTCCTTCCGATTTCGAGATGACAGGCGACGGACAGTCCTCGTGGGAGACGCTCTACGACGCGGATAATCACTTTTGTATGAATATGCCATCTATGGAAGGGAGGAGACGGTTGCGAAAGCCACGTAGCCCTCCTCGGCCTCCATCGACTCTGCCTGCAGATCCCGCGGAGGTGCTAGCGCGACAACAGTACAACCATCTTCATCCCTCAGGAACGCCTCCGCCGTCTCCGGCGTCGACTCTGAGGAAGAAGGCGTCCATCGCAAAGGCGAGGGCGCTGTTGGATAAATTGGGCAAGATTGTTAAAAATGAGAGTGGAGACGAATCGGGCTGGGTGTGTGTTGACGTGACGCCAAAGAGGGCATGAAATGTTGTATAGGACAATATCGAAATCTTCTGTATCAATAGGGACTTTCTGGGTGACTTCTCGGTATTCTTTTCTTTACTTGGGAGGAATCGGGGTGGGGTCTTGATTGGGTCTTTCTCGGGGGGGTTCTGTCTACTAACGTTCGGGGATTACTGTTGGGCTTACATAGGGAACAATGTACTCACCTAATGAAAAGGTACTGAATGTAGAGATTATTCGTCACTTCGTGCCTCGCTGTGGTATCGACGAATAGTTGGAAATCTGTGGTTTCTAGGTCCTGTACAAGGCTGACACGATATAGCAATGGCTCGACACTCATATAAAGATACCGCCCCGAGCTAGAGAGAGACGACCAAATGAAGTCCCTGTCCATGAGAATAAGACATAACATGTGCGAGATCATCGTTACTAGGCATAGCGTGACTAGGAGTTGGACATAATAGTAGTACAAAGACAACGACGGGCATCGCTCGCACGCTGCGCGCCGTCCGGTATGGTAGTATATACGCGTGGAATAGGAATCCAAATCAAGTCCGGTGCTACCGAGGAAAGTATATTTCGTCGTCCCAGGAGTCTGCTGACGCGCATTAGCAAAGTAAGGTTTAAGCGACGTGGTTGCGCACCTTCTGTGATGCTCCTCCAAGCCAGATATAGGACGCCTACGACGGCTGTTTCTAATATTGTTGCAACAAAGGAGCCGTCGACCTTAGATGAAGTGCCCTAGAAAGACGGGAATGAGATGCAAGCGATTGAGCCTGTTTATGCGTCACACGTAGCCTTACCTTACAGATGACTTGATTGAGCAAGAAATAGTCCAGCTGGCTGAGAATGAACAGGATCATCGCAAGTATATAATACCACAAGGGGCGCAGCTCATTCAGAATCCCGAGTACAACATAAAGCATAGTCAAGAAGTAGATGATGGCAGCGCTGTAATAACGACGCACGCATTCGTCAAACTGGATTACCACGACGACAGGGACACTTACGCTCCAGGCCAGATAGAAGTAAACACAAACAAGGGTACACTGTGCTCTCTCTGCAACGGGTCCGACGGTCCGAAGACACTCGTAAAGGAGAAGCCCACGTCCAGCGCGATGTACGTTGTGACGACGAAGAATGCCAAGAGGAAGAAGTTGAAGGGCTGTGCAGAGCAATGAATACGTCAGTTCATTCGGCTCCGCAAACGACGCCTGTGGTGCGGCGATAGCGCGGAAGACCCTGGATTGAATTGGCCATACTCACGATTAATGATGCGAGGGTGCCGTCCTCGACGATCTGCGTGCTGACGATGGCGTTGCCCAGGAGAGCCGAGAAGGTTGCGGCGACGAGGCCAGCGTGCACCGCGGTGATGGCCGTGAGCGCTGTTGAGCCTTGCTCGAGGAAGGAGCCGGTGGTGATCAGCTGGAAAGGCAAGGTGAGGAGGTAGAGAACGAGGAACTGGCGGAGCTCAACGCGGCCTGCGATTTGTCAGATTGATGGAGTCAGCAATTGATTTAGAAATTGAAGATGACGATTGAATGGATGGGCTCGTTTCGAGGTCCAGCGTGCAAACGAAACGCACGGGACTGAGGACCGTGATAGGAGGCCATGCACTAACTTGACCATTCGATGCCTTGGCCTGTTGAAATTTGGAAGGGAAACACGAATGCCCCATGGCGTATCCATGAGAGTTTCTGTGATCACGGGTCCTCTGACACACATTGCGATCTCTGCTCGGCATACAGACGTCGGTACAACGCCCCTCCCTTCACGAAGCTAGCCACGAAGCTTATCAGATGGTTACGCAGACGGAGCTTCGTGCAAGGTTGTCCACTGACGGTGGACAATCACAAGGGCAGGAGCATACGGAGCTACTTCGGTTCCAGGTTTAGACAAGTAGCTACCTCATGCTCCGAAGAGAGGATTTGCACGAGCAGGATTTGCGAAGCAAAAGTTGCGTCATGGAGTACACAGCGCATTACAACCGCGGCGAAACGAAGAACAATCGAGCTAGGATATCATAAGACTCACCGACAGCTGCCCTCCTTCTGCTCGTCGCGATGATCAAGAATACCAGGAAGACGATGCTCAGACCGCAGATGACGATGTTGGCAACGTTTCCCACCGACTTGTCGAACCCAGCGCGAGGGATGCCGCATTCAGGGTTCACGCCCACGGGTGCAGAGGTAGCGTTCGCAGATAGATCGTCGAAGATGGAGGAGTTGTGATCTTCGATCTGCCAATAGATGAGGATTCACCAACATCATGATGAGAGTAGGCGCACCTGGCGATAGAACAGGTTACACCACGGATAGGACGGGACGGTGTGGCAGAGAGGCTCAAAGTCCCCAAACTGAGTCATTGCGAGCTATCGTCGTGCAAAAGCGAACGAACGCCTAGCGAAAGGCGGAGGGTATCACTGCAATAACAGCAGAGTCGTGAAAGCCGTGAATAGGAGGGAGGTCGTCGCACGAGGCGAAGAGAAGCCCATCAGCTCGTCAAGTCAAACACAGCAAAACTCAACTCACCGCCACACTCCCACCGCTCGTTTATTTCCTGAATATTCGTCCCGCCGGCTCGCAGAGCAGGCAGCGGAGAGGGTAAGGAGCGCACCACGTCGGTCGGAATCAACGACGACGACGAAACAAAAAGCTGCGAACAACGCGCTCGACGGAGAGCGGAATGCGGACGGGTCGTGGCGGCCGGCGCTTGTACTCGCAACCATCGATGCTCGACTTTGTCTCCCCCTTCCACAGCAACCCAGCTCCCACCATGCTCGTCGTTCAGCCCAGTTCGACTGATCTTTCAGGTACTCCTCCAGTTGCCGCGTACCGCCACTGTCTTACACCTCGGTGCTTCTGGCCGCCGGAATGCTCACGAAAAGTGCGATCTTGCAATTCAAACGCTAGATTGGAACTGCGCGGCCCCTCTGTCTCTCCCATGGACACTCAGCTTTGATCATTGATTTTGGCACTCTCGCTCCGCTCTACTGCTAGGAAGGACCTGTCTCTACCATGGTTATTTGCGGATCAACGCTATCTCTCATAGGTGCCTAGCAGGCGCGACCATCGCTCCTGGAGATCCACCAGCCCGAATCAACTGTGGGTCCAGGCCAATTAGCTGGTGACGACCGCGTATATGAGCCCCTGGGTGAGCCTGTCCTTGGTACGTTAGCCGTCGATCGCCCCTTCGATAGGTTTCAATCATGCTGTGGGGACATTGTCGACCGAATAATTGCAACCTGCCGATGCTGTGTCGACCAGGCAGCCGACAGAAAAGTTCGCGGATTAGGCGAACGTCGCTTACAAAACGTATATCACCTGCTCGTCCCCGAAAGAAACGGCACCGAGTGCTCGAGGTATCAATTTCTGGAAATGCCAAAGGCGACCCAGCTTGCCGGATCTTGAGCACAGCAATGATCTCTCTGTCTCGCGACGCAGGGACAGGCTCGCACCACGATCAGCAGTAACACCCACGACTGTCAGTGGCTTCTAGCTGGCGCTCACCGTTTTTCCGTATCAGCCCTGAGCTTCCTCAGGCCATCCACCAGCATCCACCGCACACCTTGTGGCTCGCAGGCACTGTCAATGGATGAAACCACTTCGCGAAGCACGCTGACACTATACGCCTTCCGGCGGTTGAGGTTTCCGAGCCCGACGCCTCGGTAGGGCTTCCATGGTCCTGGCGACGCAGGGCTCGAGTGCGAACGCCGTCGCTTGCGACCAGAATGGCGAGAGCCCATGGTGAATTTACCTTTTCGCTATCAAGTCGCCGCCATGCCTGCTGCAATTTTCCGTGCTTCTCATGGATCAACGGTGCGCCCGTGCCGCTTTTCTCTCGCTTCGTGATGCTTCTACTGGAAGTTCCATCACAAAACCGCTTCCCTCTTGAACGACTCCTGATTTGGCACGTGTTCGGCCTTGCGCCGACCAGCGTGCAATTAAATCAGATGCTCCATATGGCTGCACGCAGCGCGGCGTCCGCGCGCTCCAGCAGTGGAGGGTGCCTGTAACACCCTCCGGGCAATTGTGTCTCTGTCGTAGAATGACAGGCTTGGCTCATTTGTCGTGCGCCAGCGATTAGGAGCTTGGACGACAGCCGAAATTGCGAGATCGCACTCGTGACTAGGGCGGGGTAACTATCTCACGAAGTGTAGCACACCTCTAAGCGAGAAGGCTTGAAGGAACATCTGTTGCTCCCAAAGTCTTGCTGCCGATGTCGTGCCGATGACCCGCCCGAAGACAGACAGCGTATGCCACTCACATTTTTCCACCTCGGTCCCAAAAAGTGGAATCTGTGTCCTTTAACCACTCGGAACGTCGCAGTGGACAAATCTCCTGTGGGGCGCTCCATCTCGCGCAACTTATGAAGTAATATGAAGGCATGAAGAGATTTTCTTGCTCGCTACCGCGAATAGTGTCGACAAGACGCCGAAAATGCGATAACACTGCTTAGATAACCATGTGAAGAAATTATTGCTGCGCATGTTTTGTCTGCGAAGCGCGAACGGATGAAATCACGCCAACCCTGTCTATTGAATTGCGGCGCTTGCTAGGTGAGCATTTGGCATTCTCGTCCACCCGTCGTTGTGGTCTCTGCCTCGCCTGCTATCGAGATGGGCGGTGCAGCAATACAGTGTGCAGGGACGACTCTGCTAGATAGGGAAGGTGTGCAGGAACGAGCTGCTGCTGCTGCAACGCTTCCCTCGGGCATGGTGGGATGATGTCGAGATACCGTGGTCGAGTCGATCGGGAGGGATCTCAAGATGCCTCAGCCCTTGCAGACAGCGTCTGAGGAGGGAACATGGTACCCTTCGACAGGACCCTTCTTACGTGTAATGTCGAGCCGGTCAGTCATTATGCATCATGTCCGTCGACTTCTGCGAGAGCTGCTAACGCCGCAAAGCACACCGTCGTGAACATGTCCAGTGAGTGATGCCGTCCGCTGTGTTGTTCTCGTGGTATAGCTGAAAACACGCGAGTGCAACCATCTGCAAGTTGATGGCAACGGTAGAGTACAATCGCCTCTGATTGTGAACTCGCCCATCGAGACAATGGGAGCACAGATGGTCGCTGTATTCCTTCAGTCGACGAGCGCGGCATCCGAGACCAGTGTGTGGTAAATGGACAGTCGATGAATGAGGGGGTACATTGCACGTCCGATCAAAGGGGCTGTACGCTGTCTCGCCCCTGGAATTCTGCAGCTTCCGCGAGAAGCTGCTCAAGATGGCAAGCGACTCGATCCATCAAGTATGTGCTATACTCACGGAACCCACGAGGATATGCCGAGCGCGTGCAAGACCCTCATGCACCATCAGTCGGTGCGTCACCGACGCTCGGCTAGCAGAAGATCACATCGCTGCTGGGCACGCCGACTAGGGACGGGGGGCGCTCGCACCGGTACGTAATCGCGCTAGCCCCGTCCTCCGCGCGTCCTCAGGCATCCGTGCTCGACGTCTCGTCTGTCAGGCAGGGTGCGCGTTTTCAACGACGGATGCAGTCGGGGTATTCTCGAGAGCGCCACCAGGCAGATGGGGCGCCGACACTACCATATTTGAGCTGAACAACTCCGTTGCCACCGCGCAACATGTTTGCAGCATGTTCGTGCAGCGCAACTCTGGAGTGTGCTTCTTCGCGGATGTCCGTGTAGACCCTGCGGCATGCCGTGAGTTGGTGATTATTGTGCGAGCACGAACTTGATCTCCAATGGGAGACTTCCGCACACGCACGAGCCGATAGCCGAAAAGGTGCAGGAGGATGGTCATGTCGCATCTTTGGGCACTTGCAAGCGCACAGCGTGGCTTCGCGAGTAAGTCCTTCCAGCTACTGATTGCGGCGGACACCTAGAAAGCCGGTCTAGGTCACCTAGCGAAAATATATCTATTGCCTACGTTAACCGCTGTACATCCGTTAAACTAGTATTAGTCTGGCGCTCTTGGAGAAATATGCATTAGTTGCATCAACTGCGATCGAGTGACGGTGGAGCATCCCATCAAATGGCCCAATCGGGCGTGTTATCACTTACGTAATCAACGTCACCGACGCGCCGCCTTTGTTAAAGTTCACAACGATCTCTGTGGCAAGAACATATCTTGTCCAACAGACTGCGAGCATAGTCATCATGGTGAGTGATATTATCCTCTGTGGATGAGCGGCGGAAGTTATACGCGCTGACGCAGGACAGTCCTTGAAAGGAGCCGCTTCACCTGCCTTGCCATCCTTCCCGCCGTCGCAAGATGCATCCACGAGCTCTGCAGGCCAGTCACAGCTCACCCCGCCCCCTGAGTTGGAGCAAACCCTCACGATGCTGACATCGCATCGATCCGTGCTCGGATACATGCTGCTTACGCGAAGCCATCCCGTGACCATCATCCGTCACTCTGGGGCCGTGTTCGAAGGTGAGCAGGGCCGCAAGTACGCGAGCGCGGTCGGACGGATTGTGGAGAGTGTGCAGCGAGGGCTGCAGGAAGTGAGTGGCGATCAGATGGAAGTGGTGAGTGGGTGCGATTTTTCGAGTTGGCCCGGGGAGCTGGACAGCATGCATAGGACGATATGCGATTCATGAGGATCCGAACGAAACGGCACGAGATCATGATTTCACCAGGTGAGCATGGCCTTCTGTCTGCCCCGTGGTTGCAGCGACTTGGTTTACGATCGCGCCATCTGCGTTTCACCAGACGAACGGTACCTCCTTGCCGTTCTTCACGATCCCGCCTCGTGAGGTCTCGAGCGTGTAGACGCGCATATACCCACTTCCGACGTTTCCTTCTATTGAGCACTTGTCCTTTTCTGTCTCTTACCATCGTTTGTGAATATGGCATTGGAGGTAGGCCGAGAGCGTCGTTGAAGTATAGGAGAAGCACTAAACCCATGCGATGCACGGACGCTGTGACTGCGACCAATCACTAGTGCAGTGCTCTAATAGAGGCTGCTTGGAGAACGGGCATTCTAGTGCGAGCGCATGGGTTCTAGTGTAGTGTTTAGTACACACCGTTCCCGAGCGTGCCTTGCTCAGGCGGTCGACTTTGAGCTCTTGCATAGCTGGTCAACGTTTTGGATGACATGTCGAATACATACAGGCGTGACTGGGCGGCTCTCATCGCTGCTTGCGCTGGCTCGTTCCAGCTTGGGGAGGTCTCAGCCAAGCGATCGGTGGGTAGCCATCATGTTCAGTGTCCGATATGCTGAATCCTGCGGCAAATTGTGCGCATTCACCGTCCGACCATCGAGCTTCTCGCGGGCATTATGATTGCCTTCCCTGACGAGAAGACCTTCCCTGTGTCATGTCGCACCGATGAGCTTTGCCTCCGGCTTGGACATGAGCGAAGAGATCTCGATCACAAAGGCCTAGACTGCGGTGTGAACGAGTCGCAGCCAACACAACGCGAACGCGCCAATCACTTGCCGGGACGAAATCTACTCCCGTTCTCTTTTTGCGCTAACTTTATTTGTTAAAACCTCTTAATTTGATTTTCAGAGTTTCCGTCCAGTGGATCGGGTCAGTATTGCCTACAACGATGAATTAACCTTTATTTTGTACCCTGTTTCTTATGTCTAGTGGCCAATGGTCGTCCTTCGGTTGTCGTCCGAGCATATAACGCGACCGTCAACTCCCTCTCCTTCCGTCGATCCCCCGAACCTTTCCCCCTCCCTCCCCTCCCTCCCTCGTCCATAATGTCCTTTCCTCAACGCGACGATGCATGCTTTGATGCCTCTCGTCCTTCGCATCTCAGCAGAGCGGCGGCTGTCGGTCTCAACATCGCGGTGACCTCAGGGATGCAGGACGTCTCTGGTCCACACGCCCCCTCACCAGCAGCATACTCCGAGTATTCCGCTATGCCTTCCACCCCCGCGACGCCGTCCGACGCGCCGGCGACCCCACTGGACGCCAACAGGAACTCTGAAGACTCGTGGAACCTCATCCCGTACAACGTGCCTTGGGGGTCGGAGTACTTTGACTACCAACCAGGGACCCTGCCTGGTCCCGACGGCTCTTGCGTCTTCCTTCGTTCTCCGACTCCTCTCAAAAACAAGCGCACGACGCGGGCTTGCACCAAGTGTCGCGAGCGAAAGGCAAAAGTAAGCCCCACCCACCCTTCGCCACTCGTGCGTTGTGTTGACGCGCCTGTCTTCAGTGCAGCGGAACACGGCCCACATGCTCACGGTGTCTGTCTCGTGGATACATCTGCCAGTACGATCTTGATGACTCAAAACGGAGTAGCGCTGCGAACCTCGCTCGGCAACGGCGGCGTAGCCAGGCAACGTTATCGACATCTTCCTCCTTTTCCTCCCTGAGGAGCGTGACCGCCTTCTCCGACCGCTCTGACTACTCCCAGGCATCATCGTCGCTGAGACGCGAGCTCGTCGAGGCGTCGTCGTCGACGAGCAGTCTTGCCTATTCGGTCGCGTCCACCGCATCGACCACGTCAACGTCGAGCGAGCCCCTCGAGGCGTGGTGGCCGTTCGAACGGCCGCCCTCGGCGAGCTACATCCCGTTTGCAGAGGGGATGCCGGCGGATCCATACCCGAAAAGCATCCACGCGATTTCGGAGGAGGCCAACTTTCCGTCGGCAATGTCCGTGCACGCCCCGCGGCCAGTCAAATGTTCGCAAGCGGTGCCCTTCCTGACGCATGTGCAAACAGAGATGAGCGAGGCGGTTTCCGCAGGGGGCTTTGCTGACGCGTCGATGTCGATCGCTGTCGCCGACGACATGGACGTGAATGCGTACGCGTACGTCGGGTTGGACCCGTTCGACCCGCACTCGTACGGTTTCTCCGGTGATCATATGTTGTTTCAGTATGTCGTTTTACTACTGCTTCCGTGTGCGAAGGAAGCTGATCGTTCCCACGTCACAGGCCCTTTGCGATGCCGCCGACGTACCTCTCCCCGTTCGGGGCGATGGAGCAGGACATGATGCAGACGCACTACGAGCCGCCATCGACGGCGGCGTCGGGGTATAATCAGGACATTGGCATTGTTCCGCAGCGGACGTACGACGCCTTTGTGGCTTGAGGTCTCAAAATCTTTCGTTTGTTCTTTGGTTTTTGCTTATCATCGTCCACGCATGATCACTCTGGACTTGTTGTTGTTCAATTGTCATGTCGCATGGACACTCACTCGGATAGGATACGGTATAATGGTTGCACACGTCGCGGACGGATCTTTCTCTCGTTATTGTCACAGGACTAATATTCTCCACATCTCATATAATATTGCATAGACAGAGTTCTAGAGTCTAGTGTCGATGTGTGTATGATAAGTATTGTAATATAAATTGAGGTTAAATGTATGTGCTGCTGCTGCTACTGCCGGCAAGAGTGCCTGTTTCGAGCCTGAGATGGCCTCGAGCGCGTCGCGCCCGCCGGGACGAGCCTCGTCTCTCGAACACGCCGTGTGAAGAAGCCGTGAAATCAGCGCTACGGTGCCCGAACGGAGATGTGGCGACTCGCATCAGGTATTAGAATGGATCAGAAGTCGCGACGGAGGTTTGGAGAGTCCTGTGCGGCCAATAGCTTGTCTCTGACTCGGAGGCGCACTCACGTCGCTCTGCTGATCGCCGTGTCTAGCGCGGGTACCCTGCACAATCACGCTGCGCTGGACGCGATCGAGACAGGCACATTAGCCGGACATGTGAGGACAACGTGTTTGGGCGCGCGTCGCCGGGTGCAGTGTGCGCATCGCATCATGCAGCATTAATCGCGAGGGTACTTACGCAGAGCAGGAAGAGAACACGCGCTTTGCACTAACGAACGGGCGACCGCACACCTGGACGGCCAAGCCGCTAGTCCGCATGAGGGGAAGACGTTGTCCGAGTTCAGCGCGCGCGGCCGCCCCAGGCACGCGAACACGAATGCGCGAGCGGACCGTCGAGCGAGGAGAGCCCAGGTCGCGACACGCAGCGGCCGCGCGGCGCGGCGCGGTGTGTGGCCAGCGGCATATGTACCCCCAAATGCAAGCGAGACGGCGACGGTGCTTCAACGGGTCGCCGGAAAAGCCGACCCTTGATAGCCAGCCAGCAGCGTTGACGCGTTGACCAGATTGCGGGATCAGGCTCTCATGCTGACGTCTCCGATTCACGCGGGCGTTCCCACTGCTCAGCCGTAATCGTAGGGACTGATGGCAGGCCTTCTCGTGGCAGGGTATGATGGTGGACCGCATGTTGCCGCCTCACTTCGTAAATGATCGCAACAAGAGACGGGGAGCCGAGTCCTGCCGGCTGAGGATGAGGTCAGTGGTTGATCTTGCTAATCTGTCATGAGAGCTCGGTTTGTTGGAGTTTGAGCTTGATCTTTGATAGAATTCTGGTCGTACATACAAAGGGATGTGCGTGCGGTGGGAGTGAAGCTATGGCAACGAGATACATGTCCTGATGGAATTCCGGACAGACATCTTCTAGCGTCTTCAGTGGACGCAGAAGGCGAGTGCAATTGCAAGTGGAACGGGTAAGTCGGCACAAAGGGGCTGCAGGACCTACCCGACGAAAGGAGATGCCTCGTAGAGTGCTATGAAGAGGAGGTCTCTGCGCTAGGATGCGCCGGGGGGTCCTTGAGCGGATTCTCTTCTCGTGCCTGCTCGAGCAGCGTGTCCAAGCCCTTGTCCTTGACAGCTTTCTGCAGCCAGCTCAGACAAGCTCGCAGCGGGGAAGAATGCAGCAGCGCACCTGCACGCACTCGCGATACCGCACCCAGATCTTGCCGCAGTTCTCCTCGTACTCGGCGGCCTTCTCCTGGGAGAACTGTGAGCGCTGCTCGGGCGACGCGGAGGCAGAGACGGCGGGCTCGAGGTAGCCCTCGAACCAGGCGTTGAAGCAGGCGTCGTATTCACGCTTGAGAGGCGTGCACTCTTCCGACAGGCTATGCGCCATGCTTTGGGTTGCAGGCGGCAGTGAAGAGAGTCAAGGCCAAGTACCAGCGAGGTATCCTTGGCCCGCCGATGCGTGCGCGGCGCGCCGGCCCGCCAGTGGCTTGCCACACGGGACAAACATGCGCACACACAGGCGCGCGAAGCCGCGGCGGGCGGTGGCTGCGTCGGGCAACCATGGTCCTCGTCCTCGCTATCGGCGACCTGCACATCCCACACAGAGTCCATGACCTCCCTAACAAATTCAAGAAGCTCTTAGTTCCCGGAAAGATCCAGCAGATTCTCTGCACGGGGAACGTGTGTGATCGGGAGACGTATGAGTATTTGAGGACGGTCGCGCCGGACGTTTTGGTCGTTCGTGGAGATTATGATGAGGCGAGTCTGACTTATGGGCGAACGTGGTGTGCTTGCTGATGCGTATGTGTTGGCAGAGCTCGTTTCCGCTGTCAGTGTCTGTGACGCACTCGCCCATCCGCATCGGCGTCGTTCACGGGCACCAGTGTGTACCCATCGGCGATCTCGACTCTCTCAGTGCGATTGCGAGACAGCTCGATGTTGATGTGTTGGTGTCAGGGCATACGCATACGTGAGTCATGCTCCTCGAGCAAGCAATTCCTGGTCGGCTCATGTTCCTCGCACGCTGCCAGCTTCCAAGCCGTCGAGTATGACGGCCGCTTCTTTGTCAACCCGGGCTCAGCGACGGGCGCATGGACGGGTGCCGTCCACGGGTACGTACCAGCATACCCGCTATATCCAGCACACCTCATCTCACCGGGTCCATCTTGCTCTGCCAATCCAGCGACCCAGTTCCCTCCTTCGCGCTCATGGACATCCAGGGCCCCGTCGTCGTCACGTACGTGTACCAGCTGATCGAGGGCGAGGTGCGGGTGGAGAAGATCGAGTACAGGAAGGACATCGAGACGGTGAAGGAGGTGCCAAAGAGCAATGTCTTGCCGCAGAGTATACCCATCCCTGCGCCCGCGCAGAGCGTGTGGTGATCCTTCTGGTGTATTGTACTGTTGCTACGGTATTGTGAGTTGGAGTCTAGTCGTGTCTATAACGCTCATCCTTGCCTTTGTCATTCAGCTCGTCGTATGTGTATTCTATAGCCCTTATTTGACGCAGGATGTGAGCGTGCTCCATAGAACTTGTTCGATTGCGCACAGTCTGTCTGTTCCTGCTCGGTAGGTTGCACAGATATACTCCCTGGCGTACGTAATTTGACGAGGGGTAGGCAAGGTGATTCGCCATGTGAGGTTTGTTCGATATATCGCTTGTGAGTGCACTGTTCTAATTGTGGCTCTCGCGCTCACGCTTCGTCGTCCAGCTTTGAAATGTGGTATTCTTGGCAGGTTATTCTGTGTGCTGGTACGTAAGCGGTCTGCGTTCGCCAGCGTTCTAAATACGCTGTCAAACCCTGTCAACCGTGCAAGCAATGGTAACACTGGTATGGCTTTGTCTTCTACATATGAGGTAACTTCGAAGTCCTGTCCAACGGCATTATTTTTACTTGTCCTGCCTCTGTGAAAGCGGCGACAGCAAGCTCTTCCATCTGGTTCTTAGTCTCCAGCGAGATATGGAGGGCCTTTTTCCAGTTTCAACTCTACTATCCTGGGACTGAAGCTGTCATCCGGATCCTTCGAAGAGTACGCGCGCAACAGGCGATGCAATAACCTTGAAGCTTGAAAGCATAAACTTTGAACGTGTCATTATCCTTCAGGTAGCACTGGTTCGTCTCTAGTACTAAATGACCGTGCTCTATCTATGCGGGTCTGTGACCAAGTTCAAATATACAACGTCCGTGTTTCCTCCCTCGAATAATATACACAGCAAAGGCTACGCTTGCATGGATGCAGTCCGATCTCGGAGGGGCAGTGCTGGCGAATGATCGCGCGGTCCGGCAGGACGCTGAGCGGGCAGCGGTCGCGGGTCCGTCGCCGTCCGTCGATGGAGCATGCTCGCGCGCACCAGAGACTCCCTCGCGTCCTTCCAGCGCTGTGTCCCTGTCGGCTCTGATGCCTCCTCTAGTAGGGCCAGCTCGAGGAGGAACTTGCCCTCCTTCCAGGTCTCTGTGCGCTCGTGTGCGCGCACGATCTTCCAGCCGAGGTAGGATGCGCACGCGGTGCATTTGAACTCTTGGACGGTGTGTGCGCCGGTGTCCATGAGGAGCAGGCTCGGCTTGCTGAGGGTGATGTTCGTGCTGCGAACGGGTATCAGCAGGCGAATGAGAGCAAGAGTGAAGCGAGTTACGCGTCGGTAAACAGGGCTGCTTTTCCAGAGTAGCCTCGGAATCCCTGCTGCGTTCGGAAACATGTCAGCCTTGAAGTGAGGACGGATAGGAAGGCCACACTACCTTGCAGAGGAGGTGCCTCTCGGAGGCGACAACGGCACGACATGTCCTGCAAGTCAATGCGACGAACGAGCGACTCTCTTCGTGCGAAGACAGCTTGTACATGCTACTGCGGGTGCGGAGGATGGGGACAGAGGAGAAACGGGAGGCGGAGATGGCGGTCATGGTCGCTGCTCTTGCGCATCGACCGACGGAAAGATGGAGGAGGGGGGTGGCCGCAGCGCAGGGCGGAGCCCAGCTTATATGTTAGGAGCATTTCAAACGGGTATCAGATGGGTCGCATGGACGGGAAAGGGGATCGCCATGATGGGCACGGAGCACAGCCTGTGAGCGAGGAGCAGCCTGAGCGGAGACGAGATGCCACAGTGCGCAGGAGTCTTCGTGCGAGGCGCGTGCGAAGGGAAGTCGACCACCGTGAAATGAAAATTATTATGGAAGATGGGCTGCATGGAAGGTGGCTGGTGGATGCTAGCCGACGTGCGCACAGCCCTCGACGCCCCCATCATCGTCTGCGACGTGTTCGAGTGCAACGACGTCGCTTGCCGCAAATGGGCCACCGTGTCAGACGCTCAGTCTCTCTCTCCCACCATGGTCTCGCGCCGCATCTTTCGCGGAAACAGAGTCCTCCTCGACAACAGGCTCCAGCCCGCCACCATCGCCGTCGACCTCACCACAGGCAGGATCACCCATGTCCACCGCGGCGCACAGGACAGGCAGGCCTTTGCCGACGTCGAGGACGCCAACTGGATAGACGCAGGCGACAGAGTCATCCTCCCGGGCCTCGTCGAGTGCGTCTACTCGGCTGTGATTTGCGAGTTCCTGGCTCACTTCATGCAGTGCCCACGTCCATCTGAACGAGCCCGGCCGCACGGACTGGGAGGGCTTCTGGACGGGCACGCGCGCCGCCGCGTCTGGGGGCGTCACCACCGTTGTGGACATGCCGCTCAACTCCATCCCGCCAACGACTACCGTCGCGAACCTGGAGGAGAAGCGCAACGCTGCGCGCGGGCAGTGCTGGACGGACGTTGCCTTTTGGGGTGGAGTCATCCCTGGGAATCAGGTAATTGCCCCGTTCGTTCACCTCAGTTTGCGCAAATGTCTCAAGCGACCCGCGATTGCTGCGTGGTCACGGCTGGAGAACTGGTATCGAGGTACCGTTCATCTTGATCAGGGAGAACGCTCGAGCGTGAACTTGATGTGGTTTAATGTCGAGAGAAGGATGCGCTCAGACTCTGTCTTCCCATGTCTGGGAAGCAACAGCTCCTTTAACAGGCTTATCGCTACGCTTTCATCATATCAAGGTCACGTCTGACCTTGTCAAGGACTGGAAGTCTATTGCTCCAACTACGAACAGCCCAGTGCATCAAACGTTGACCGTTACATCATTGTCGTGTATGCCACAAGTCACTGACAGAAACAGCATGACAGTCGCATCTCAAGCCGTTGATTGACGCGGGCGTAAGGGGCTTCAAGTGTTTCCTCATCGAGAGCGGCGTCGAGGTCCGTCAGGGTTTTCTACATCGTCGAACCCTCTAACTTCGTCCTGAAGGAGTTTCCATGCGTCACCGAGAACGATTTGCAATCTGCCATGGAAGAACTGAAGGTACTCCGTCTTTTCACAATCTCTTTCATCACACCCTCATCAGCATCATGAACAGAACACGTCCACCGTGCTCTGCTTCCACGCCGAGCTGGACAGATCCGTGCACACTTCCGGGTCGCCAGAGCCTGCCGATCCCACCCTCTACAGCACCTTTCTCGAGTCACGGCCGCAACAACTCGAAATCGACGCCATCTCGCTCATCACCACCCTCCACCGCAAATACCCCGCGCTCCGGCTGCACATCGTGCATCTCTCCGCCGCGCTCGCGCTGCCGCTCATCCGCGCGGCCAAGACGTCCGGGCTCCCGCTCACCGTCGAGACATGCTTCCACTACCTCTCGCTCTCGGCGGCGCAGATCCCGCGGGGGCGTCCGGAATTCAAGTGCTGCCCGCCGATCCGCGAGGAGGGCAACCGCGAGGAGCTGTGGGAGGCGCTCGCGGACGGGACGATCGATTGCGTGGTGAGCGATCACAGCCCGTGCGTCGCGTCGCTGAAGAGGATGGACGAGGGTGACTTTATGGGCGCGTGGGGAGGGATCAGTACGCTTGGGCTGGGGCTGAGCTTGTTGTGGACGGAGGGGAGTAGGCGTGGGCTTGAGATTGAGAGGGTTGCGGAGTGGGTGTGTGCCAAGACCGCGAGGCATGCGGGGCTTGAGCATCGCAAGGGGCACTTGAAGGTCGGATACGACGCGGACTTGATTATTTGGGACCCGAAAGTGGAGTTTGAGGTGCGTGCGCGAGGTGAGAGCGTTGGCGGGTTTAGTTGATGCGGCGTGGTATGTAGGTGACGAAGGAGCTGCTGAACTTCAAGAACAAGATGACGCCGTACGAGGGCTTGACCCTGCGCGGGCGTGTCGAGAAAACCTACCTCGGGGGAACGCTCATATACGACCATTTTGCCGGAGGGTTCGAGGGGTTGATACCAAGCGGGAAGCTGCTGTGACATACACCGCGGTCATATCAAAGATGTTCTCAATCTGAACGCTCGCGGAATCTTAGTAAGGTCGAACATATAGCTGTTGTCAATTTTATGTCTTGAATATGGTCTTGTCTCCACTGACACTCGTCCTTTGCCGCACCCGACGTCATCAGCTTCCCCGACCAGTCTTCTTTTGTGTGTGGTCATTTTCTTTTCTATCGTGGCGCCTCACCTTTTCGTGGCGTCTGTGCTTATCGTTCTCCTCTGATCCATCGTGATAGGCATTCTGCTCAGTTTGATGATGGCAACGGGCGAAGCATCGACGTCTTGAATCACCTCCTGTACGGTCGTCTATCCTCGTACGACCGTCCGGTTGGCGATTCGCGACTCTACTTTTCTTCCGTTGCTCTTTTTCGAGGTGGACCTGGCATCAGCTGGTCTTTGTTTGACTCGTGATCAGCACGGAATTTCGGGAGCTGTGTGCGAACGTGCAAGCATTGGACCCTGCGGCTTCTGTTTGAGAACGGAGTGTCGGCGAGAGCGGGCTAATCAGGCTTATCACTTACAGAACGATATCTTTAACCGACCCAGGTAATTTTCATGTCGACGGACCAAGCGCACAGGCCGGTGGCATTCGTGCAGCCACTTCCAAACACCACACTGAAGAGCAGGCATTCCATCCCCTTTGATCATGGTTTGCTTTCCAGCGTGTATGACTGAGCAATGACAAACGGTTCTATCGTATCTCCTAGAACGACCGAGGGAAGTGCCCCCTCTTTTTCTATCGAGCTCCAGGAAGCAGCTAGATACTGACCATGGGATCAAATCACATGGCGCAGTTCACCTCTCCCCAGGCTATGATACAAATCGCTCTGACTAGCGTCGCCCGTTTTCACCGAACACACGTAAGCACGCCGAAACTTTATAATACTGTACGAGCTCAGCAGCGGGGTGGCCCACTGAAGTCCTGATAACTCACCTCAAGGTGGGAAGCCGGAAGTTGCACGTGCCTTTACGATGTCCAACGGTTTGAAGAACGAGCCCGCGACGAATGGGCTGCTCAATGGCGTCGACGACAGTTTTCAGCTTGGCGACTTTGCCATCGACGAGTACAGGCCGATCAAGGTGGTCGTCATAGGCGCAGGATACAGCGGCATCATTGCGGGAATCAGGTATGCACATGAATCTCTACGCAATTGATGAGACTGTGATGATCTTATGTTCATACACACGCTATCAGGTTTCCGCAGAGGATACCCAATGTTGAGCTGACGATATACGAGAAGAATGCAGGCATTGGTGGGACGTGGTACACCAATAAGTATCCGTGAGTGATGCTGCAACTCGGATGCCAGACACCTTTCACGAGGCTTTCTCACTGCAGTGGTGTAGCATGCGACACGCCATCTCACTCCGTATGTCTCGCTGAATCCATCATGAGTCTCAGCGGTTCATTTCACTTGTTATCAGTACCAGCTCACGTTTGAGCCCAAGGTCAGTCCGCTCACCGCTGGCTGTTTTTGTGTCCAGATTCAAGCCTGCGGCGTTGATGGTACTCACTGTTGATGTCTCCCCAGACCGACTGGTCCAGCTTTTATCCGCCCGGCCCGGAGATTTTGTCCTACCTCGAGTCCGTCGTTGATAAGTACAAGCTCATGCGCTACATCAAGCTGCAACACCGCGTCGTGGAAGCTCGGTACGATGAGCCAACGGGTAAATGGCACCTGCGCGTGAGGCGCCCGCGATCTGTGTCACCTTCCTCTACTGCCCCCGCTGCTTCTGATACATCAAGTGGCGCTGACAACCAGGCCAATCCGGCCGAGGAATACGAAGAGTTTACGCATTCCGCTGATTTCCTCCTCACGGGCATTGGCGTTCTCAGCCGGTGGGACTGGCCTGATATCGATGGCCTGCACACTTTTGAAGGCAAGCTCCTGCACAGCGCCGACTTTGACGTCGGCAATCGAACGTGGCAGGAGGCAACCGAGGAGTGGAAATGGAAGGACAAGAAGGTTGGCGTGATTGGCGTGGTGAGCGATATTCGCGTCTTGCGTGAATAATCGCAATCTGGCATGAGTGCTGACAACTGTTGTGGTGCGGATTTTGTGACTGCTCTTGGTTAGGGCTCGAGCGCGATCCAAATCGTTGCCGCGTTGCAGCCGCGCGTCGGTAAGCTGGTTCAGTTCGTGCGCGGCAAGACTTGGATATCCCCACCGTTTGCGAGTGCACAATACGCGGAACTGGTCAATCGTGATCAGAGCGTTGAAAACTGTAGGTTGCCATGTACTAGACCTATCTAATATTGCTCTGACATTGAGATAGACACGTTCACGGAGGAGGCTAAGGAGTCGTTCAAGGACCAGGTATTCTACAAGCACTTCCGGCACGAGTTGGAATCGTTAATCCACGTATGTCCTCATCAGTGCAACTAATATATGTGCTGAGAGTTGATCACGCTTTGTCTGCTCAGTCTTACCATGGTCTCACCCTGCGGGACAGCGTACAGCAAGCGGCGGGACGCGAGGCATTCACGGAGCACATGCGTAAAAAGCTCTCGATAAAGCCGTGGATTATGGATCACCGTACGTGACCTGATGTCCCTGTTGTTTCTGTTGTGCATGTGATGGCTTACAAACTGTACGCAGTGCTTCCTGACTGGAGCGTCGCATGCAGACGGTTGACGCCGGCGCCTGGATACCTGGAAGCACTGTGTGAGGAGAATGTAAGCTGCGTGTTTGTTTTATCCAATATCTCGGATGCGAGTGAAGCTATCTGATGTAGGTAGACTTTGTACCCAAAGAGATTCGGCGGGTCACTCCGCGAGGCATCGAGACAGTCGATGGGCAGCATACTGATCTCGACGCTGTCATTTGCGCCACTGGTCTGTCCGTCTGTCCATCCACCTTACCTCCGTTAACGTCTCTTCATTCCACACTGAAGGCTTTGATGTCTCCTTCCAACTCGACTTCCCCATCATTGGCCGCGACGGGGTGTCCGTTCAAGAGAAATGGACCCCGCATCCCTCGACGTACCTTTCGCTGTGCACGGATGGCTTCCCGAACTGGTTCATGTCGATCGGTCCGAATGGAGCATTAGGCGTAGGCTCGTTGCTTATTATGATAGAGCGCCAGATCGAGTATGCGGTCATGGCTGCAAAGAAGATGCAGCGCGAGAGGCTAAAGAGCATCGAGGTCAAGAGTGAAGCGGTGAGAGATTTCGATGAATATTTGGAGGTAAATGAGTTCTTTCTTTCACAATGTCATGAATGGTTGATTGAACATGTTACTGTATGAAGCATTTCTTTCCGAAGGCGAGTGCTACCTAACAAGGCTATTCAACAACGGATGCATCTAAATCCTTGTGGCGTGCAGACTGTTTTCAGCGATAACTGCAGGTCGTGGTATAAAATGGGCAAGGTAGATGGAAGGAATGTCGCCATCTGGCCTGGTGAGTGGAGTCCCATCTTTTGCCCATTGCCCGTGACAACCGTTTTAGGATCATCCTTGCACTCCGTACGTGCTCTCGAGCATCCGCGCTGGGAAGACTACAAGTATGAATATACCGATGGCGTGCGCAATCGGATGTACTGGCTTGGAGACGGGCAGACGTACAACGAGAAGACGATGACGGGGGATCGTGAGTGGTCGTTCTCGAATCGGCCGAAAATGCAGAGCTGATTCGTATGTGTTAGGAGCATGGTATTTGAATGACGATGAGGTGGACATCCCTCCCGGTGAGTCTTACAGTGAAAACCTGCTAGATTCATTGCCGAAACCTCCCCTCAGTACCAGCAGATTAGTGTCTCAGGGCACTGTGGATTACAATGCAATGGTGTCATTTTATGAAGTTTTTGTATCGGAAACTGAGGGATAGGGCCACATATACTCGCTCCTCTCACAGCTTGTGCGATAAAATTCTAAGCGCCGCGGTGCTGCACATTACAGGGCTCGAGTGCCACTGAGATCGTGCCCGCTTTACAGCCGCGCGTGCGCAAGATTTATGATTTGTGCGCGGCAAGATGTGGATCTCTCACACCCTTTTCGAGCGCAAAGCTCGCGGAGCTGATGAAGCACGATCCAGACGCGGAGAATTGTGCGTAGTGATCGGTTGATCTCTCAAGATCTCGAGTTGCATGACGCGACACTGACTTTGAGATGTTTGGCTCGTGTGCAGACACATCAAGTGAGGCGGACAAGAAAGCCCTCAAGGATTCACGGTATTAATGAAAGGATCTGACATGAGCTCGAGTCAGACCTGAATATTAGGTTTGTTCGTCTTCTCGTGTTGGGTTTGTTGACTGTTCATGACTGTGCATGTTAGCACTCTGCGGAATGCTGTGCAGCAGCTTGCTGGCCGCGATGCGTTCACCGCGCGTATGCGGAAGAAGCTCACGAAAAAGCCGTGGATCATGGGTGAACACCGCAACGTCGCGCTGTGGCCTGATCATCAAAATATGGTCTTGTCACACGCTAAACGAACATGGATACGTCATGTCTACACGCTGTATGCGCCCTCGAGCATCCGCGCAGGGAAGACCTCGATTACGAGCTTGCGGATGGCGTGAGCAATCGTATGTACTGGCTGGCTGACGGGCAGACCTACAACGAGAAGATGATGACGGGCGATCGTGAGTGGCCGTCACTGAATCGTCGACGTGTGCACAGTTCATTCGTATGTGCTAGAAGCTTAGTATTTATGACGAGGAGCGTGTACATATTCCTCCGAGTCAGTGGAATGCGACGTTCGTCACGATAGTAAGATGAAATTGCTGATGTATGCTACAGTTCCAGTGCAAACTGAGTCAGCATGTGGCGCAGAGCGTTAGTAATGAGGTGTTCCAGGTGGCGAAGAAGATGTCAGAGTTGAATACAAGCTGACGTCGTACGAGAGACCAACCCAACACATTCCTAGGTGAAATGCTCGTCACTGATTGTTTCACTTGCAGATTTGTGATACCGTTTGCTGTTATACGCGCTGGCGTGATCACAATCCAGGATCTCAACAGCGATACCTGGTTGCTCTTATGTGAGGTTGAGAAAATATTTTCGGACTGTGATGTCTCCTGAGTATCGCGCGTTGGATTTGCCACGCTTGTCCCTCGCCGCGCATAGCAGCGTCTTCTCACCAATCAGGCTCTCTGGCTGACGCGGTGTCAACAAATGTCCATCTCCATGCATATGGTAGAATGGCCATATTTGCGATGACTGTCTTCGTGCTTTCACGTCGTTAAAGATCGATCGTGGTATGCACGAGCGTCTGCATGTAATCAACCCGAGGCAGCCTCGCCGAGTAGGAAAGGGCATGCTTTTCAACTCAACCCTATGCCGCGCTTGGGAATCCCCGTCTTCTAGCTGCCTCTCTTTGGCAATCCTTGCGGTATCTTTCCAGAGACCAGTCAGTTAGCGTCATCCTTCTGCTATCGTCTCAGCTAGTCGCTCGTTTGAGGTCATCAGACTGCATTGTGCGATGCTCTGTTCCACCTCTTCAGAATGCCTCAAACAGAAAGCCACTTTGGGATTGAACCTGCCATAGATATGGCAGCTTACTGAAAACGCTCATGGCGTTCGGGTCCGTATGAAGTCATATATTTGCACTTCGCCAGCCCGCAGACCCCTTCCGACTGGGTGGAGAGACCCCGTAACTCCATCAAGCAGACGTAAAAAGAGGTGTATATCAGCCGATCCTAACCCTCCACGCACCGGCTTTATTCTCTATAGAGAGCTACATCAGCATGCTTCCGTATATTCACTACTTACTATTATTTAGCAACATGTTGGGCTGTTCTGTCTTAACCAGAGTCATAAATGGACTCAAGACCTTTGTGGCGTATCGGCAATCAATTGTGGCCTGACAGCTCGTTCGGTGGAGAGAAAATAGTGAGATTAGTCCAGAGACGAGGCCCCCAATGATGACGGGGAAAAGCACAGACATCGGAATGGGAGAGTTTGAGCGGAACGACTCACTCATCCTTTCCTCACGAGATCTACCATGAAAGCCTCCTCGTGGGACCGTTTCCGCTGACCAGCACCGGTTACAAGTCACCCGTGCGACTGCGTCTCGGCAGCGACAGATCAACCAGCCAGACGGCTCGTTCATAGACGCGGACCTTTCCGAGGGGGGGTGGTCAAGAGAGACTAGCATGCATGCCTTTCGAATGAAAAGAATGAGAGTTAGCACTCGAAAAAATAGCATGTCGACCCTGCTATGTCCTATCCTTTGATCGCTAGGAGGAGGCTCGCGTCGAAGAACAGGTATATTGACGCAAGCTAGCAACGAAGACATTTATCAGCGACCTGATTGTAAATTAACGGAAATGGAAGGCAAACGAGGCTCGCTTTGGGGCCTAGAACCAGCGAAGGAAAGGAGACGCACAGGTCTAAGAGAGCGATTACATCGACACAGCATTAAATGGACAAACGCCTGCCGTTGACGTTGTAATCAGATAAATCCTCCATCTCTTGAAAGACTCTGCAGGCATCACAGCGCGTTGAGGCGCAGCTCCCGGCTTGCAGCCTGAAGCTGAAGGGCCGTCGATACATGGGTATATTCGTGGTGGGAAGAAGAGTCGAGAATTCAGAGCGTCAGTATTCGGTGCATGCAAGGCAATTGCTGCTCGTTAAGCGGACAGAGATGTCGTATACTTACGTTCGCCCCGTGGATTTGGTTGAGTCTGCTGCCAGTGAGGGCCAGTCCAGGGACCAGGTCACGGTAGTAAGAATGTGGAGTCCACAGGTATGTACCGCACTCGCAGGATAACGCCAATGCTTCAATTATCAGAGCAGCCGGTGCGTCCTTGGAGAGCGTGCATGTGATTGATGTTGGCGAGATGCGAGATGCTAGCGTGGGTTGGTTACTGCGCTCCTCTCCCATCAGTGCTTCAGCGCTTAGTGCTCATGGTATCGCAAGTTGTTCAAGCTATTTGTCGCTGGCTCTTACTCCTGCACAATAGATGGGGTCTTCGCAAGAAAATACGGCAGTAAACAACCATGTTTTATACTCACATACCTGCCTAGGTTGTCGGCGTTCCTAGCTTGTACGTCCAAAACTCAAACGCATTTATCCAGACGCCGTGAATATGATCAGGATTCCTCTTCAATATGTAGTATCTCGTGGAGATGAAGCATGCTCTATATGCAGCTCTTATTGTGGTGAACGGAGCAAAAATCACTCGTAACGATTAATGATTCCTATTAACATTGTCCAACGTTGGGTCGACAGTGAACTCACGTTCCTGCTCTAACAGGCCACATGACGAATGCACTGTTCCTGCATATGCATATGAACGCAAAGTAAGACGGCTAGCTGTTCAAACATATGGCTCACCTTGCGTTGCAGTTACATGCAAAATACTGCTATTGAATCGGGAAGCACACTAGCCTTGCTGAGCGCTGAGGCGCAGTAACCGCGCTCGACGTAGCGGGCACTGCCGGCACCGCCCTACCACTGTTGTCACACTGCCATACTCTGCTCTTCAGTCTCCAAACGCTTCCCTCTCTCATTTCTGCCACTAAGCTTGCAGGCGAGGCTATCAACATTGCAGCCATATCTCATTGTCTCGTAGATCTCAGCCGAATTGAGAGTAAAACAATGGACACGTCATCGATTAGGTCGCAGCTGGAGGAACGACACTCTCGTATGAAGATTTTTTCACAGCGTATTGTCATGTACAAGGCACTGCTACTCTCCTTGCCATCCAGGTGTGCAACAGCTGATTCGTCTCTCAGATGCATATCAAAGCACTGCACAATGCATGCCATCCAAGGGCATTCGAACGCCGCTTTGACGAATCAGTTTCAGAAGGAGATGCTGACCGGTGGCAACGCTCAGTTGAGGATCGCTTCATGACATGGGCCAGCTGGGACCTAGCGACAAGCCTATCAAACTGGCGTGCCATGATTGATGACATTCGAGAACTCTGGAGATCGCACCCATGGCCACATTGTCGTGAGATCGCGGACTATGTGAGTATTTCATGCCATTTTACTGCTTCACGCACTCAATTTATTGACCTCTTCAGCTAAAACCTGAGCTTGTAGCTATCGTTGAAGCCGTGTCAACGGCAACATCGACTCGTGAACCCGTTCAGCAATTGTTACAACTTCCGCTCGACAATGCGCATGAGATTGCAGATCTCTTTGACACTGTGCGTAAACTCTTTTTGTCATTGGCACCTTCACTCATGAACCAGGCTACAGATTCTGACGGAACATGCAGCCTCGCTGAATCTGGACACCCGTAACTCGATGTTTCGCACAATGAGGAAGCTTTGTGAAAAGCATGTCGTACTACCGCGAGCATCCCTACTTTCTCCTCATGAGCTCATCGTGGAAGATGAACATCCCATCGACCGGGGCGGCTTTGGTGAAATACGCCGTGGACAGTGGCAAAGTGGTGGAAGCATAGTTCGTGTAGCTTTCAAATCCTTCACCTTTGCACAGAATGAGGACCTGCAACAAGTTCGAAAGGTCAGTCTCCCACCAGCATTGGACGTCGTAGACATCTAACTGCGTGTATCAAATAGCAGATCTACAAGGAAGCCATTCAATGGCGACATCTCCATCATCCGAACGTTGTGCCATTTTTCGGTGTCTGTGACATGCCGCGGCCACTCCGATTGTGCATCGTGAGCCACTGGATGGAGAACGGTAGCATCATGGACTTCTTGCGACAGAACACTAGCGCAGACCGGCTACCGTTGGTATGCCGTTCCCCACTACATACGATAGCGCACCGTACTCACCATCCATCGTTCTAGTTGGTCGGGATTGCGACAGGGCTTGAATATCTCCACTCAAAGGACATTGTTCATGGCGATCTCAAGGGAGTGAGCAAGATAGCCCTCTGCTTCTATGCATCAGACTGAATATCATTGGCAGGCAAACATTCTAATTGACGACAATGGGGTCCCGCGTCTGGCCGACTTTGGTCTAGCGACTGTAGTGTACCGCATGCAGACAGTCAATACTGCTTCCGAGTCGCACAGAGGTGGCACTTACCGTTGGATGGCACCGGAACTTTTCGACCCCGAGAAATTCGGCTTGCCACATGTACGGCCGTCCAAGGAAAGCGACGTCTACGGGCTTGCCATGGTGATGTGGGAGGTATATCTCGTTCTCACTGCCATCGGCTACAAGTGGCCTCACTCGTAGCTTTTAGGTCTACACAGGCCGCATCCCATTCCACATGTGTCGCAATGAGTGGCAAGTGGTTTACAAGATCATGTCTGGCAAACGACCCACTCGTTCTGAGGATACTATGCTGCCGGTTATCCAGGACCGCATCTGGATCCTCATGGAGGAATGTTGGGATGCATGTCCAGGAAATCGTCCGAATGTCCGTGACGTACTCGGTCGCTTGGGCGCCGAAGACGACATGCACGGCATCACAGTGACGGAGCAAAATCGGGTATCTCCTCACATGAGGACAACAAGCGAGCATAGTAGCGTTGACATGCAAACTCTAAACATTCGTGAGGATTCGGGCAGCTGCATCAATGTCCACTTGGAGATGAAACACGTGGAGTGTCATCTCAGAATAACCGCGCGCTTTTTTTTTTTTTTTTCCCGAACTGTCATGATCGGTAGAATCTGAGGAAGTGGCCACTTCATCTGGACCTCACGCTTCTCTCAGGGAATTGACGTTCAATTTCCTATATCAGGTAAGCGTCGATGACCATTCGAGCGCCCAGCGGTGTCGTGGGTCCTTTGCCCCGGCATTCCTGTCACACCTGTGGGTGTAGCATTCCTCGACCTCTTGTTATACGCCGTAGGGCTCTCTAAATACATATAAAACTTTTGGGTTTCAGCTATTACTTTATTTTGTAGTCTTGGTGCAGATGGTTAGGTTGTGCCATGCAACATGCTGAAATATTTTAAATAATTATCATTGTCCCCAATCATTTGGGATGAGCCTCAAGGTCCAGAGTCCAAGGGAACGAGAACAACGAACCTATGGGGAACCATCCGGCGGATCCGGCGGATCCGGCGGATTAGCCGGATGGTCCGGGTAGGCTACCGTGATGTTCATGAAGCATGAAGCATGAAGCGTAAAGAGTTGGTCGGTGATACGTTCTTGTGCGATAAGTATATGCGTTATGATTCCCTGTTTATATGCAATCAGCGTGCATCCGGGAATCATGCAAGGCCACCTCGCTGCCGTGTCGAGAGGTATTCAAACCCGGTTGGTCCTTTATCATACCACAGTTCAGTCGAATTGTGGGGTTCCATCTCGCTTCGACATTGCTAGAAGAATATAATGATTTTCTGTGAAGCTGCCATGCTTCCTAAACCCAATCCCCCCTCCCGCCCCCTCGGGACGAAACCCCATCCGAGTGCCATACCGTGCTGGGGCTGATCAGAGAATTCTCCGGCACCAATCAGGAAACAGGAATGAATCTCCTGTTAAGGTTCCAGTCACATGATCAACACCCATCTGTCAATGAAACGCGGCCACAAACAGGCTGCTTCATGATTCCGACATTTAATAGCCCTCCCAATGTATCCTGTATCATTCAGAGATTAAAACTGAGTCTATCTATGGCAACAACATGACTAAGAACTGTACAGATTATTGCGGCACACAATCTTGAGATTCTTTTCGGACTTTGTAGTGCTGCCGCATAGCTCAAGGACACACAGTGCACTGTTATGTCCATCAATGCTGCTGGCCATCCTCTGTCTCATCTGCCGCAATGTCCCAAATGCAGTGCACAATATCTGACAGCTCCAGTCCTCTGTTCTGGGCACACAGATCCTGACAATAAAGGTTACTGGTTCCGGAAGGTGTGTTATGTGATAACTTGTTGTTCCTTCATTGCCCTGAAATACGAGGCATGAATCAGTGCCTTGACAACAAGCCTCCGTCACATGTGGCATGTGATCATTTTGAGTGGGTGAGGACAATGCCGAAGGGCAAGCAAGCACGCCCCTCTGTGCCATGCCCTGGACATCATTGCAAAGCAGCCCGCCCAAATTCCGTGACGAATACAAACCTTGATTGTACATTTGGATTATGCCAGGCATGCTGCCAAGACACACGAGCACAATTTTCGAGCCTGCGCAGTTGTGCGGTGTCGAAGCATAACCGCTCAAATAACTCTTCTACGCGATCTGGAGTGCCTACAGCTACATATCAGCCGCTGCTTCAGAGTGGTCCCATGGCGGAGGCCTCAGAGCCTCAGCCACTACTTGCTGCTCCAGCATTTATCCAGACACCTATGGTGAAATCCTACAAGCTCTCTATATCGCCTATATACCAGCTAAAGCTTCGGGAGCTTGAAAGGGATGATTTAGAAAGGGTTCACCAAGCAGAGATGGAGACTCGCCTTGCACGTGAAGGGGACAGAATGGTCATGGTCTACTGGTGGCGACAGGTGCATGATGAACTCTCTTATCATAGACGCAACCAACTGAAATGTATGGGCATAGAATGATGAGCCAGCGGACCTGTTCTCTGTCGTGGCTCCAGACTACCCGTACTTTCATCCCAAGCAGGCAAAAGACCTGTATAAGCGCTTTGCGCTTGGAACAGCTGACTTTCAATATTATGATTGGAAGATCAAGAAATGGGTCTACGGTTCGCCCGACTCACCGTGCATCAATATCAAGACTGCAACTGAATTGCATTATCGCTGCGATGGAGTGACTACTGGCCCAGGCATGCCTGTGATTAGCCTCAAGCGTACCACCTCAAAGGCTGTTTTAGATGAGAGCATAGAGCGTCATCGCTCAATGAGCTCATTTGAAAGCGTTGAGGATATAAGTGGGCCTTCTAGGTATGTTCGCTTGTAGTATCACAGGTAATGGAGTATTTGACTCACAGGTTGCCAGCTTGCCTGCCACTCCCCGCAAACCTCCTCGGACATCTCAAACTGTCATCGACATTGATGCATGGCTAAGCACTCCAAGCCATCCTGCGCCCATCATGTCACCAAGCCAGACTAGTGCGGCATCTCCTCCAAGGACTCCAATGAGAAACTTCGAGTTGCAGGTGTCCTCACCTTCTTCTAGCTGAATCAGCTCACCATCGAAGACTTCTACGCTGAAAGGCCATCACGGTTGGCCATTGAAGTATGTGATTGACATGGCAGATGGCTTCGCCACCATGAAGACATTGGAGGGGGATGGGCAGAGCCATGAAAATGTGTTCTCATTTGTCTTCACCGGTGCTAACTACCGCAGCTCTACCTTCAATGACAACGAGCGAGCTTGGCGAGTGGTGGAGGAAGTTGGTGGTGAAACAGAACTTCAATGGTGGATCACATATGGACGGACTCCTCAGGGCGAGTGGCGAGCTTTCATGAAGCAGTGGCGGCAAGGTCGTAGATAGGGCATATATAGCGCTCTTGAAAAATGTCTCATCAATGCGTCTGTATCACAGCCGGCGAGGTGAATATATTAGGTCAATGTACCATCGAGGGCCTTGAGTGTGCTAATGGCTGCGATGGTGAGGTATCGATTTTCAGCCCGCTTGCGAAACAATAGGTCATATTTAAGAATTCAGCACCGTTAAGTAATGATCTTGGTCGACAAAAAACGACATCCAGAGCCGATAGCAAAAGGGGGGGAGCCTATGAAAGAGACAGGAGACTGGATGGCGTACCTGAAACGCAGTACATCAGCTTCTGCTGAGTGAACTTAAACTTTGCTAGTTCACCGACACTGACGGTCGTTCATCTTCACGACAATTGTGCCAGGATGGCTGTTCCACTCAAGGCAAAAGATCTGTAAGTTTATCTGCTTGCCGTCAGATAAAACTTGCTAATATCGTTTTCTGCACAGAATTGGCTTGAGTGGGTCTGAATCCAAGGTAAGAGCCTCTATGTCTCTAAGCGATCGTGGCAGAAAAAATATTGACTACTTGCTTGCGATGAAAGATGATCTTGCGCATATGGTGGGACCTGCACAAACTAACAGCTCCCCGCTTCGATTTTCAAGGCACTGGCGAGGAGGCCGTTTGGCAGCGTATCGAGGTTGACAGCATGATGATAAACTGGTCTGCAGTTCAAAAGTCAGCTCCGAACATTGCGAAAACAGCTGCGTCGCTTTCAAACAAGAAGTTGAACCGCAAGCGGACAGACGAAGAGAGGGATTGGGGGATAGAGAAGATTATTCGCACCGCTATCGAAGAGGGTCGCATTGCAGTTCCTGAAGAATATGTGAGTTCCACCTTGCTCTGACATCGCATAAATATGTGATCACCCACTGTTAGCTGTTAAAAAGAGCAGAAACTGAGGCAGCAGATGTCAGCAGCCAAGTCCAGCGAGAAGACGATGAGCGTAAGAAAAATAATGATAAGAAGAATGACAGCAAAGACGAGGATGAGCACGGAGGTGAGGAGAAGAACGAGGATGACTATGATGATGACGGTGATAATGATGAGAATGAGGAAGAAGGGAACAACGAGGATGACAACGAGAAAGGCGGTGATAACGAGAATGAGGAAGAAGATATATGTATTCGACGCACCACCTTCAACTCAGCTTCGCGTGCTTCATGCATCCAAGTGTTGTCCCTCTGTTGCACTGCGCCCAGTGCCTTACGTTGCCGTTGGGGACATGGATGAGGACGTAGACGCGGCTGATGGAATCGCTGATATTGTGGTAAAGTATCAAGATTGCCGAGTTGCAGTGGGCGAGCAAGTTGCAAATGGGCCAGGCCGCCAACGTCTTGTCTATCTAAAAGACATGCCTGTTATGGAGGACCGCTCTGCGATGCGTGGACAAGCACAGATCCGATACTTTGTGAGGGGTCGTGCGCTCATCAGCAGGCTACGAGAGATGACACTCTTGCGAGGCTGTACGTGCTTGCTTAAGGATCTTCGAAATTATTTTCATGCGTGTTTGCTATTATTACAGGTCGTCTGAACTTCTCTGACATGATGATATTGGATGCGAAGGACAAGTTACGAGGGATATCCTGGCTGGAAAGCATTGCCGTCACAAATGCAAATGGTGAATTCGAGCTCTCTGACAGTGAGCTGGAGATACCTCTGGTCATTCTTCATGAATCAATCAGAGAAGCACAATTATGTTGTGAGGACCTAGCGGTGGAATGGGTATTTGGTCCTTCTCACACGCACTATCTGTCCCGCTAATGATCTTGCAGTTCACAGAGCTTGTTGCATCTGATGGAAAGCCTAGCACGAAGTGCAAGCTTATCCAGAACGACGTTCCTGCCAACCTCCATGCAGATTCAGCGAAAGGCAAAAAATGCGCGAATAAGGAACCTACTCGCCCGAAATCAGACAAGGTGACGAGGGCTGAGATGCTTCGCTTCCTCGCTGAGGTTGATGGTGGCCACTTTGAAAATCACCCCGCCATTCTCTCGATCTGTCATGCCCCAAATCGCAAGGCCTCCGTTGTTTTGAACGTCCTACTCAGTCAGCTCAACATCATCTGGGAGATCAGCAAGACGAAATATCCAACCGACAATGGCACTCAAGTAACACCCACGAATCATGCAATCAGTGACTTCATGTGACGTCAAGCTGAATGGGTGGGTCAATGCTTGCAGGTGGCAGCTCTGATTAAGGATCATGCAGACGAACCTAAAATCAAGAAACTTCGTGCCGCGGGGGGGAAAACGACGATGGGGGTTAGTGGATTGCTGAATGAGCTAAAAGATATCATATCGCAGAAGGTACAGAAGGACAATCACGCTCACCATCGTAACAGCAGGAATGATTTGTTTGAGGGGTCTGGGAGAGACACCGGCTCTGACTCCGAGTCAGCGTCGTGATGCGAGATGATACTCATGCTGTATCAGCATGTACATTCTCATTCGTAGTGACAGGATGTACGTACAAGTACGGTATGTCAATCATCGAACGTCACCATCAAACACACAATACAAGCTCATCGGTCAGCACAATGTGAGGGACATGTCCTCGCTTCCGAAGTTCACATACCAGAAATGCATTTCGAATATTAATCATCTCGTCCAGAAAAAAGTTGTAGTGTGATTTCGTCATCTCGCGCGTTATGGATTGGAACTTTCCAAACCAGACGTTCGCCTGCTCGGCAGCTGAAGAATTAAATGTCCACTGGTTGTGCTCATCGTAAAGCTCAGGGAAACCTGCTGGATTGCAGTGCATCTGACAGAAAGCATCGGAGTCCTTGTGCTTATTGATAGCGTGAAAGACATCAACAGGAAATCCTATTGTGTCCAGTCGATGCTCACCAGCGGCAATCAGGTGCTGTAGCAGATGACAGTTGTTATCAAAAAAGAGATAGGAAGGACGAGCGTGGGGGAAGCGAGCTGGAAAAGTGGCAAGAATGAAATTCTGGATCATGTTAGAGCACCACACAAGCATAAGGTTGGCATTCCACTCACCATGGCATTGACAAGAGACTCTGCGTGGAAAAATGTCACTCGTGATATAATAATCCCACAGCATCGTACCATGAGTTGCTCGTTATGCGTTTACTTGCACGTCAAGGACGTCTTGAGCTTTGGAGGTGAGGACAGATCTCTGATCGCTGGATCCGCTTGCGCAGATGATGCAATATTTGCTGATGCATCAGATACAATGAGACTTGAGCCTTCAATAAAAGTCTCTGTCTCTGGCACCTCCAATGGAGTGGCAGATGTGTCAGCCATCGTAAGCTCATCAAGGTAGCCAGCCGCATTTCTTGGCTCTGCCAAGTCAGCAATGCCAGAATGTCGGGCTAGTCTGGCTTTGAGTCGGAAGATTGCCTTTCCCTGCTCGCGTCGACGCAATTCTATGCCGCGATGAACGGGATTATCGCAAGTGCGAAAGCCTTAACATGTGTTTGCACTGCAGCCATGTATCACGCATCGCATATGCAAATTGGCATGGATGGGACAGAAGCGATCACGCAGTGATGCCAGCGACTCAATGCAGTTGGCTACATTGCACCTTGGATGACCGACAGTGACACCATCCATCACACATGCAGTGATACGAGCTACGTTGCATGTGACAGAATTAATCAGGCAAGAGCGAATCATAATAAACAAAGGGACGTACACCAGGAGCCATCATGCTCGACAATCACTTTCACACAATCTCTGCACACATGCGCCCACTGCTCCTGCCCTGTTCCAGCCACACACAAGTTTCGTTCAAGCAATCGAGCATTTAGACGATCTTTATGGCTTCCACGGTGAGGTAGTACTAGTCCGATAGATTGTCGTACACAGTCTCGCAGTAAGGCATAGAGATAGAATGTGTTCCAGATGGTCTCTGAGCTCAAACAATCGTCATTATGCTGAGTGTTGATCGACAGGTTGTATATTCTCGCAATGGCTTCGCCTGATGCACTGCATACAATCGACAAAAGAATGAGACCATGCAAATGCTCGCAGCTTGAGTAGAGAATGACATACTGCGAAAATGCCATTTGTGTTGCAAAAAGCTGTGCAAGTTCACTTTCTATGTAGCAGTGTTCCACCACTTCAAGATAGCGAGGCATGCAAGATAGATAGCGTCTACATGAGTCATCCCGTTCAGCGCAACAGACCGAGTAGTTAGGCCGATAGGTTGTCTTGCATTCTGGAAGAGACGTGATATAACATCATGCGCAGAAATATAATGCCATGTATTGCTTACCACGACAATACAGCGTGATGATCTGTGCAGGCAAGATGCCTCGGCGCAGGGTATAAAGATGAGCCATATACTCCTTATACTCAGCATGCAATTTATGGCCGAATTTCTTGCACGAGCGATTGACACACTCCCATTTGTCGGTAATGATGATTTCTGCACCTGCACGCCATGATTAAGACATCGTAAACCACTGCAAATCAATCATAATGAGACTGACCAAGTTTATATTGGAGACTCTGTTCACATAGCAAGCAGTCTAACTCTGCCATTAAGTCCGAACCAGTGGCCACTTTGCTGTCTTGAAGGATAAGATCATGGATTGCGAGCCAGATCGCCTGCACCTTTCCCGCAGGAATGTGCGTGAACAGACTTATCAGATCACATATGCTGTCTGGCAGTGATGTGGTTTGCAGCGTGGCAGGGGAACAGCTTAATGAGGATTTTAGAATGATTATAGGTAATAAGTGTGCGCAGAGAGCTGTAAATTGTTCCAGCTGCCGTGTGTTAAGCTTTCATAGAATGGCAACACTGAAAGATTATTCGTTAGATCACGGAGGAGCATGGCGAGACGTTCAACATGAAATGACAATCGACAATCATGTATGGATGCTCGAACTTGAAAATAAGACTTACTCACGTTGTCGTACCATAATTGTCTCGGCCAATATGATTCGACCTTGACACTATGCGTCGCGTGAACGCTGCGGGATTGCACATGAACCACTCAGGTACGAAGCCGTAGCGACATCGCCGTTTGCATCCGTTAGCCTACCGGTGCTACCTTGAATAATTCAGCATACGAGAGAATGAGAGGTACCGTCATACCACTAGCTCATCACCTGTCCTGATATGGTAGGCGATGCCAGTGCTGTGCAAACGCCACTTACCTGTACATCGCGCGAACGCTGCGGGATCATACACGAACCACTCAGGTACGATGTCATACCGATGTCGCCGTTTGCACTCGTTAGCCTACCGGTGCTATCTTGAATGATTCAGCATATGACAGAATGAGAGACATCGTCATACCTGGCTTGTCGCCTGTCCTCGAAGAACATCCAGATTGCAACTCTTGAACAATAGATGATGCCAGCGCTGTGCGAACCCTACCTGCCTGTACATCACGTTCACGCTGCGGGATCGCACACAAATCATTCGGGTATGAAGCCATACCGACCTCGCCGTTTGCATTCGTTAGCCTACTGGTGCTAACCTGAATGATTCAGCATATCATAGAACGAGAAGTATCTCATACCTGGCTTATTGCCCATCCTTGAAGACCATCAAGCTTGCAACCCTTGAACGACGGGGTGCCAGCACTGTGCAAACGCTACCTGCCTGTACATCATGTGAACACACTGCAGGATTGCACATGAAACCACTCATGTACGAAGCCATACTGATGTCGCCGTTTGCACTGGTTGGCCTACAGGTGCCATCGTGAATGATCCCACATATGAGAGTGAAAGATGTCAAGACGGTGTCCTGTCCTCGAAGGCATCCATAAGATAGTGATGCCAGTGCTGTGCGAATGCTACCCGCGTGTACATTGTTATCAAGATGATCACCTGCCTTAGAAAAGATAGCGATGCCAGCGCTGTGTGAACGCTACCCACTTGTACATCGTTATCAAGATGGTCATCTGCCTTAAAAAAGATAGCGATGCCAGCGCTGTGCGAACGATACCCGCTTTACACTATACGAACGCTGCAGGAATGCACACGAACCACTCATGTATGAAGCCATACTGACGTCACTGACATCGCCATTTGCACCCGTTAGCCTACGGATGCCATCGTGAATGATTCTGCCTATGACTGAGTGAAAGATGTCATCATTCCGCTTGATCCTCAAAGATTCATGACTCATGAGAAGGACTCTGGCACTGTGTGAACAATAGCGGCTTGCACATGAATAAAAGGCATATCATCTGCCTATGGGGTGCTATCGTGAACGAATCAGCATTATGTATGAGAGAATGAAATGGCGTCGTACCTCTGATAATGATGTGAATGCTACCAGCTTGAACGCAAATCGTTCATGATTTGTACTGAACAGGGGTCATACCCACATGGCCATCTGCGCACGTTAGCCTACGTCTGCTGTCATGAACGATTAAGCATCATGTATGAGAGAACAAGGAGTATTATCACTAGCTGGTCACCTGGTCCTCGAGTACATCCAGCTGGCGGCTCTGGATGGATAGGTAGCCAGCATCGTGGCCGCTCAGTCATTGACGAGTGATCCCATGGACCTTTCTGTGTTGTCCGTGGCATCTGCATTTTGAGCTTTGCAAAATATGATCTTGACTTCTCATGGGGTGATGGCACCTTGCATGGTGGTGTCCTTGCTCAGCAATGGGCATGTCAATAAGGACAAAGACCTTATGGTATTCTATTGCCATAGTTGTGATAATGTAGCTATGTAATAGTACACAATTTCAGTACTTCGTACCCGGCAGGCGGCGAGGTGTACTAGGGCTTGGCATGGTCATAACCGATGTAGAAGGTGTTCCAGTGGGTCATAGCGATGTCGTGGATTTGGTGTAGGCTGTCCCCATGAAACAGTGGCTGCGCATGGTCTGGTTGGTTTGGGTCCACTGTGGCGGCGGTGCGGTGCAACAGGGTTGTCGGCATACGGATCATTGGAGATGCTGTGCTGGGACATGTCCTAGTCATATGGCTCATCAAGAATAGAGCCACGGGATCTGGGCGGGTAGGACGCGAGTAAGGTGCGAATGAGATGTGTGCGGCATTGAGGGTATACATGCACCCAGTGAATCATAGGCAATTAGTAATGAAAGATGTATGAAGAATAATCAACACTGGTTCAAGCATGATCGAGAGCATTATAACTCACCATGAATGCTGGCCTACTTGCTCGCCTTCCTACAAACACCGTTGGCCCATCCTGCACGAAAAGGCAGCCAACCACCATGAGTCGTCACTGGGCGAGGTGAGGCCAGGTCCGTTGGGTGTATCGAACTGCCGATTAGCACGACGGTGTAGCAATGCGCTCAGATGGGCTCTACGTAGTATCATGCTGCCTGCAGCGACGTGCTGGCGACGTGCGGACTCTGGTCAAAGTAATCACGTGTGCGCGTCTAGCTGACTTACACCATCTCGGTGATTGGTCAGAACTCCTGTATGTGCGCGCATGTGAAAATAACGCATGCAGCGATTCTGGGACTCTGCGTTGCACTGCGGCTTGCACGCGAATCATTCACGAGCAGTGCTGCAAACTGCGGCTTGTATGTGAACCATTCACGAGAAGTGCTGCACAATGTGTGCTTGCACGGAATCATTCACGAGAAGTGATATACAATGTGTGCTTGCACGGAATCATTCACGAGAAGTGATATACAGTGTGGGCTTGCACGCAACAATTCACAAGAAGCACTGCAGACACTGCAGACACTGCAGGCCACCGGGTCTCTGGACAATTCACGAACATCCGTGTACCATACCTGATCGTACATGGGCACCTAAGGATCCGGCATCATCCGCCGGATCCGGCGGATGGTTCCCCATAGGTCCGACCTTCATAAGGGAACTAAAGGTTCAAGTCCTCGATTCAAGTCTCAAAGCCTCAGGGACTCAGGCCTCAATCATTTCAATCAAACTCAAGGTTCAAATGTTCAACGTTCAAGCATCAAGCTCACCTGAGGCAATGCACAGTCTCCGGCATGAGTCACAATGATTGAGTCACGGTCACGATTCTATGACTGGAGGCCTTCGGAGAACTTGATCAACACGTCCTTAAGCGCTTAAAATCTTGAACGGTGACTAGTTACTCCAGCAGCCTGAGTCACAATTATTGAGTTACGGTCAACTTGATCAACACGTCCTCAAGCGCCTAAAATCTTGTAGGTCTTGAACATTTGAACGGTGACTAGTTACTGCTTGACTGTTATCTTAAGCCTTCGATTCTACAATACTAGCCCTCCGTGGGCCATGGACATAGAATGCGTTGGGTTGTATACCACGCCTGTCAGGTGACAGATGCGACTCAACGTGTTTTCGCAAAACGTGATCATGTGCCCAAAAGGTGCGGAACCCTGCCGTTGCTATTGATATGTTCCTGTCTCCACGCACATCGTGCTCAGTTCCCCCCTCGTCGCACCGATTGTCTTTCGCTCAACTTGACTTTTTTTTCAAGACTTCAACCATCAACCTTCAACCTTCAGAGTCCTCTGCCTTCACCTTTTTCAATCTCTTCAAACGCTGCTGTCAGATCGCCAACTGGAGGTGCATCTCAGTCGATGCATCTCTGCGGGATCCTACAGCTCAGCCATGGCACGGTCCTCCATTCCAAGTATGCGGGGAGGCAGCTGGCGGGTGTCCAGGCTGCTGGACTACTCGCACTTGTGACCATCTATCCGGGTGAACATCGCACAGAACTCTCGCAAGGTATGTAATTAGGCAAGCTCACAGAGTGACGCGATGGACCTGCTAATTGCCATGTCTCAGACATACCCTACAGCCAACTGCGGGCAGGAATGAGATAGAAGTGTCATCGTAACAGGTCAGTGTCAATTTATCAAAGAAATGTTAGATGTTAATTGACTTCACAGTTTCGCTCTGTTGCTCACCCGGGCTCATACTGCTGCTGCCTGACGAGAACGAACCCGTGATGAGCCCATGCTGTTCTCTTCTTTTTGCAGCTGTATTCGTACTTGTATCACCATCTGCCATCACAGCTTCAGCTGGGAGAATTACCGGATCAATTAGAAAAGACAGGAACCCAAAGCCCTGTAGCTGCTGCGTCGCGTAGGCTTCGATTCACACTCAAAATGTCGGTATATCCTGCTCATACTGTCCTTTATCCCAGAGGCGATCAGGACTGAAAAATGGAGCATGGTAACATCCACAATATCGCTCAGGCTTGCTCCCGAGTGTAGAGCAGAGTTGCGTGCTGAGGCATGCTTTCCCGGCCGTCAAACACATCGATATCTGGCGACCCCGAGGATAAGATGATAATATTATCTGTTGGCAGTCTGTCGACAGTGGCACAGCATGGAGTCAATAATACATCCCAGGGGCTATGTACTACGTCACGGTTCATCCCATGTCGCATGTATTTACCATGGTATCTTCACGACAGAATCCCTTCAGAACGGTCATCTGAGCCGGGTTTCTAATAATGACCTGAAGAGCGCCCTCATGTCACAATATGCATTCATTCATGAGAGCGGTCTGTCAAGCTGGGCGAAGTCAGTTACGTGATGCACGTTGGCCCTTATCTGCACAAGATGGGCGGACATTCTTTTACTTGTCTCCGAGGATACTCAAAGGTGCTTCTTGGCCCCTGAACCATCCCAGAGAGCGTCAATAAATGACGCGCAGGAAATATCGCATAGCCGCTGTAGCGTTCGCCAGAATCCGGGAGGATGAGCGAGCGGATGATGGTGTGGGGCAAGGAGAGCTCGGGCTTATATGCTGAGCTCCCTAATTAGGATTACTTTATATATAAGTACATATTTGGAATATTACATAATGTGGCACCAGCCACAACGACTTCACTGGGTGCTCTCGGATTGCTCCCTCCGAGCATTCCCAACAGCCGCCAATGCCCTCTGGGTTTCCCATCTTGCTGCATAGGGCAACCTGTTGGGTCCGGTCACGTACACTGTACCTGGGCCATTTTCGACATCCGTGCACCAGTTGTACTACAACGACCCCACCGCGACGTCCGCAGAACGCAACCCGTCATATATGACGGCAAGTCAGTTATATGCGCATAGTAACAGCTCTAATCAGTGCATATATGTAGCATAAGGCTTATCCCTACTGGTCAACGAATGCGGAGACGATCCCCCAGGTAGTGTTCGTCGATCCCTCTCATGCCCAGCTCCACTTAACTCAGATCACAGCTAGACCCCTGGAAAATGCATCCTATTTCACCAGCAGCATCCTCTTCGCAGCTGCTCATCTCTCCGTCCAGCAGATCGTCTCCATCGCAAACAACCCTGCTTTGACAACGACACATGCTCACAGTGCCAAGCTTCTGTCAGAAAAATCCTTATCTGATTAGAATGCGTTACAATGCATTGTAACGCCACAATAGATTTCCACCGTTGTGATTCATTGCGATAAAGTACAAATAATTGCAATTTCATTGTTATCTAAGCGCCTATCATTGCAATGTCATTGCAAGAGTCGAGGTGCGGCTGAGCCAGCCAAGCCAATGCAATGTGTTTCAATCATATACCTGCGATTGCAATGCATCACAATTCCAAGTGCTGACTGGACGGGCCAACAAAAGTGTTTCGACCAGAGACACGAAAGTTTTTTTTTGATCTCAAACAATCTCACTGCATAGGAATCGAACTCTGTCTTATCAAACTTGAGACAAATTAAGTATACCTTACCATTTGACTATGGAGCCATTATTGTACATGCTTAATGAATTCCAATAACACGCTTTCAAAGCTGCGGCTGATTCACGAGGTATTCGCTCGATGTGATAGTTCTAACATGACTATCCGACTATCGCGCTTGCGTGCGAGAATGCCGTGTATGCACATTAACAGCTGGCTGCTCCTCGGGTAACATTACTCTCGCAACAGCCTTGCCCTTGCCTACACCCCCCTTGCGTTCACCTGCTCTTCACTTCGGCAGGTTCATTTTGACTTCAGCCCCAGCCCTAGGCATCTGCACAATGGAATCCTGCACATTCAACTTCTGGAATGCCGTCGGCAGCTGCTGTTCAACTGTAGATTCGGTGCCTGGATAGTTCACATGGGAGCTCGAGCCTGCAATATTCAGACGATACTTAAGTAAGGTGCACAGGGATGATGAATATTAGTGTCAGCCTCACCTGGAGCCAACGACAGAGTCTGCACCACAGTAAGAGGGGTTTCCATTTGAGGATGGCTGAGGTGGGGTCGCATCGCCGAAGTGAAGGGAGTATGAGCAGCGGGATCAGCTTCAACAGCGGTGGCATGATGGTCAGGGACAGAGCGTGCTCGGGGAATTGCAGCCACATAATTTATAGCAGCATGCGGGGAAACCGTGTGGGCGAGAGCCATAGTTCGAGTGATTGTATTAGTGAAAAATGAGCCATGTTCATCAGTCACAGTGGTGTGAGTGAGTGGAGCGACAGGAACAGGATTACGTGTCATGGTGATGGCACACTGAAGAGGAGGATTGATTGGAATGTATTCTGACTCTAGCTCGTTGGATTCATCATCACTCACGGCATTCATCTCTTGTGCTATTACGTCTAAATCTGTGTCATCTTCAGTTTCATTGTGCACTACCGAGGCCTTGTCACTGAAGATAAGCACATTTAGAAATGCAAGTAGGCTCTTTAGTCTGGCCAGATCCAAAGATAGCAACAGTTGAAGATAGCGGTCAAAGTTACCCAGATAATCAATTCCGCTTCTTGCCCCTTTCGGGTTGTATTGTGTATCTGGTGAACAGAAGAAACAAGCCTCAATGACATGTTTTGTGAATATTAGAACGTCAAGCAGACAAATATGGTACCTACCAGATTGGCTGCCCAAGCGACCATGTGGGGTGTGGTACTAGTAATCTGCCAATTTTCTCCAGATGTCTTTGGCCCTGAGCGTCTGCCAGAATGCAAGGCATTTCTGCCAAATAGCGCAATTTTGATAATCTGGGATCTAAATTATTGGAGCACAACCATGAAGAAGAAAGACATTACTCGCCTTCGCAATGACTTTAGTACGAAATGTAAGACACTTTGGGCACCGCTCTCACACTTCAGCAGGGAACAGTACTGGTGTGAGAAGAAGGTATTTGTCACCGTTTCCTTTCAGAAGCCGCTGTAGGTCCAGGTTTGAAGCACGATCATATGTAGAGCTGAACCATTCCTGTGGCAACCCAAAGATCTCTCCTGCTGACAATCGTACATTGCCAATTGTGGTTGCCTTGCCTTGTCCCACACCAAAATTGAACTAAAAATAGAAGCACCAGGAGTTCCAAATGAGTGCCATCGCAACCAGTATTCACAGTTTTCAACAAACGTACGGCTGCTTGAAAATCACTAAGGTGCATCAATTTATGCAGATGCACTGACAGAAAGTCGAACATTTCTGCAGATAGTGCCATCACCCTTGTTGTCTGATTGGTGAACTGGTCAGCATCTCCAGGATCAATGGCTGGATGTTCTGTGTAGCTCCAGGCTGCAGGAGGAACCCAGGACCACACGGTCACACCAAAACATCTTCCTAGAGCACGTATATTGGTGTCATACTTCACTACCACTTTCGACTGTGTATCACGGTTTGCGTGAGCACCGCGTTTTGAACACTTTATCTTCAATTGAGTGTTATGTGCTTTGAGCTTTTGCATCTGCTGTTGTAGCGAAACGTAGCGCAGCTGCAAGTCACGTAGAGCCTGTCCGAAAACATTAGTCTATGAAGAATGTGTGGTGGGAAAAATGGTAAACACAGACAGCTCGAAAGTCTTCAATCGTTGCATTGTCTTCAGGCATAATGAGAGGATCTTGATGTTCTTGCCTACCGTCAGGTTCGTTGTCAGCACTTCGATATTCTTCATCAAAGAATGAGGATTCGATATCGGAGCCTTCATCTTCATCGAGCTGTTGAAATGGCATCTCATGATGACAGCAAGAAATGAGCATGGCGAAAACGAAGGCAAGCAAAATGAGTCACAATCATCACGCCCGATCATTGATCGAGAAATTCAATATCCGCAAACCCATACCAATGATGTCTTGAGACAGGACAGCGATGTGCGGTCGGCGGTGATGATGCTGTTGATGAGACCCATGACATTGCCGACTGCCTGCATCGCATCCTTGAAAACATTCTGGTACATGAGTGTGAGCCTGAACTGGCCATGGTAGGAGCAGATAAAATGCCTGTGGGCACGCACGTAAGCACACTCCTGTACAATCTTGAACACGAGGTGAATAACAACTGCATCACTAACATCTCTGTCAACAGTGTTTCTCTGCTGCGGCGATTGCGTAGCCGTAGCGCGTCTGACTTCCCACTCCTCATGCACCGCGTCTTCTCTGAGTTCTCCTCGCCACCAGCCGCCTTCTCATGAGTGAGTTCATGCACATGCATCCTGCGGCGATTGTGTAGCCATAGCGCATCTGACTTTCTGCTCCTCATGCGCCACGTCTTCCCTGAGTTCTCCTCATCGCCGGTTGCCTTCTCGAGCAAGTTCGTGTGCATGCACCCTGTGGCGATTGCATAGCCATAGCATGTCTGACTTTCCACTCCCCATGCGCTGCATCTTCTCTGAGTTCTCCTCGTCACCGGTCCCCTTCTCGAGTGAGTTTGTGCGCATGCACCCTGCGGCGAGTGCATAGCCACAGTGTGTCTGACTTGCCCCTCCCCATGTGCCGCATCTTCTTCAAGTTCTCCTCGTA